GTGTCACCATACATATACAGGCCATCTTTGTATAAAAAAGGCAAATAAGTAAGATAGGCAAAAACAAACAAACACACAAACCCCAGCAACAGTGAGAGGTTAAATTACAAGGTCATACATTAAGTTAGTGACAAAGCTATAAACCAGGTTCTCCCAAATCCCAGCCCATGGCCTCAAAGCTATGAAGCTTCCTTGTTCTTGTCTGTGCAAAAGAGGAGCTCTTATTTGAGCCTTTACATAGTCTTTTCTGCTCAGAACATTGAATAAAAGCATTTTATCCTAGCCTTAAGGCCTTACACCAATTCTGCCCCGTCCTCTGACCTTTTGATATATATTCCTTCCCTGGTTCCACTAGGACTACCATCAGCAGCAATGTATGCTTTCTGGGTTTCTTACCTTCATGGAGGTGCTGTCCTCATTCAAGTCACACATCTTCCAAATTGCCTTGTAGTCAAATAATTAAAAATATAAATGGGACTCCCCACACTGGGGAACTGTATTGCTGTTACCCTTAGTTTTTTACCGTATCCATTTTTGTTACTGTCACTTTCTGGGTCAGAGGCAAAATAAGATCAAAAGGTCTTTGGAGAATAAACCAAGCTGTGGTGTACAACATCTAGCATGCCTGTGGGTGCTGACAACAGGTAGGAAAAGAAGATGGACTTAGCATAGGGAAAGCAGGCAGGAAGAATTTGGCCACTACAAGGGAACAGATATCTAGCACCCAGTTTCTGGCAGAGGTCTAATTTTTAGCAGCACCAGAAAATGGTAAATGCCTACTGGATGGGACCTTCCCAAAAATCAAATAGCCTATCCATCTCTTCATGTTTCCCTATTTTGATATTTCCTTATTTTTTCCAACCAAGATACATCACAGCATGGAACCTGCCAGTCAACATAGTGTGTATTCTTCCATGAAGTAGAGTCCAAAGTGTTGCAAACAGTAGTAGTAGTAGTAGCAGCAGCAGCAGCAGCTGCAGCAACAGCAGTAGTATTTAGATCTATAGGTTACTCTATCAACAAAGACTCATTGCATCTTATAGGGCAGGAGTTTGCAAGGGGAATCAGAATTCTTCACTCCTACCGTCTCCAAAGAGTTTGCTAAGCCTCCATCAACTGACATTATGAACCAACTAACACATGCATTCATTTTCCAAATCTTAAGAAGGGACCCTTAAAAGCAGGAAACCCCAAATTCATGGCACATCACAAAAAAAGACACAATTAAAGTGATCATGTTTAGGCTAGAAGCATCTGAAGTGTAATTCCAATCCAGCTTTGATTGAGAGCCTGAGCTCTCTCTTACCAGGTGCTTTTCTATGTGTAGCTCTACTAAGTATGCTCCTCCCAGTGAGATGGAGAATTTCCCTGCTAAATGGAAAACAGGTTAGACAAGTTAAACAGCTCCTCCAAGAGACAGCATGGTGATTTTACACTCTCAGCTTGGGAGACAGGTACTGATTGCCAAGACGGGTGGATCCACAATCTCATCTTTTTTCTTTTTAAACAAGTTCCTCTCTCCAAGCAAAACAATTAAATACGTCTCCAGCCTACCTTCCCCCGCCCCTGCCCCCCAATTCCTCCTTAATGTATAGTCAGGGGCAGAACTCCAGCATTTGCCATCACCTCTGCTAGCATGTCCACAGGCAATGGAAAAAAGAATCATACTAAGGAAACAGATCCATTTCAGGTTTCCCTTGGGTTTTTTATAGAATGGGGAGTATTATTTCAAATGATAAATGATACCTCAGTGTTTCTTCTAAACCAACCAATCCCTGCAGATGCCTCAGCAAACATGAGTTCATTGATTCTGCTGTATTTCTGGAGGCGTTTGTAATGAGTACTGTACAATTAAGAGACGTGGGCAGTTAAGAGCCAGACCCCAACTGCACATAGTTGAATTTACAGTTGTCTCTTGTTTGTTGCTGCCCTTAAAGAGTGGAGATTACTTTTCAAAGGCAGTATAGGCAGTCCTTGACTTGAAATGTTTTGAGTTACACCATTTCGCACTTACAACATTTATAAATTGTCACCCTGTTTCAACTTTCTGACATCAGTTTCAACTTTCCAATGCTTAATCTGATGCGATGTCACGCCAGCAAACAAGTTTGCTGCACTGTCCATCTGCATGAAGAATATCTGTCAAAATTGCTTGGACATTTTCTTTAAGAAAGCAGGCAAGACTCCAGAAAAACCTGCAGCTAAGACTCCTGAGAAGACTCCACACAAGAGCCCTTCAAAAACTCCAGAAAAGTCACCTCAAAGAAGTCCTTCCAAATCAATATGATTGCTATTTACAATATAAATACATTAATGTAGCTATATTACTCATCTATAATTGATTGAGTACAAAATTCTGGGTTATTTTTGGTGAAAATAAGGTGTTGGGCCTTGGTTCAGGAACCAATCCCCCATTTATAACATTATTTCGTATGGGAAAATCGGTTCTGAGTTACGTTTTGACTTAAGACATGGTTTTCAGGAACCAATTGTATCATAATTCCAAGGACTGCCTGTACCGAAATGCAGGTTCTGAAATCCATAACCTTGGTGCCTGCCACAAAGAACTTCCAATCTAATGATTACCTTTAACTCAGCAAGTAATGGTGACAGATACCAATGCATGAGGGCAAATGTGGTAGAAGGAAGCAAGGTGGCATTCTTCAATAGGACAGTCTTTTGTGAGGCTGTTGAAGCAACTGACAACTGGTCACTAAAAAGAAATGCAACACCCATCTGCTCCTGGGAAAGAAGGATTGGTTTCCAAAGCAGAGTATAGAAATCTGAGCAATGTACCTCTCAAGTCCATTTGCAGTCTCTTATTCAAGGATCTAAAAGTACTTCTAAAAAAAAAGTCACAATACCTTTGTGAGGCCAGTAAATAGTGTCCCCTTTCTTTAATCAATGCAGAAAAAGACACAAAATAGATCAAGTGATTTGCCTAAGGCAACACATGGAAGAACTGCAGCCAGAAGTTAAGGTCACTTTTATACGTGCTTCAATGTATTCTGATTAGATTGCATTGGAGTAAACTCGATTAATTGCTCTACGCTCTGCAATTAATCGAGTCTACTGGAGTGTTCTAATCAGAACGCTCCGGCACACTGCAGTGTCTCGTGTATTCAGCATCCTTGCATTTCAAAATGGCGGCAGGGCATTTTAAACTAAAGCTTGTCGAATGAGCTTTAAAGCATCCCTGCTGCCCTTTTGAAATGCAGGATGCTGAATACACAAGGCACTCCGGGTGTTTTAATTGGACAAGCTCTAATTAAAATGCACCCCTGGAATTCCACCTGGAATGTATATAGGTGCCTGAAGAGCCTTGCTATAACTTATTCCATGATTGCTACTCAATAGGTCACACTTTCTTTTAATTATTAATTAACTCTGGGAAACTGGGGATTGGAAGGGGAAAAGCTCACTTCACCCTGACTGCCCCTAACTTCAGCAGCTACATCCCCACCCACTTCTTTGATACAGTGAGCATTATAAAATTAGAACCAAAACAACCACGAAAAAAGATGTTGATCCTAAAAGCACTAACATATATGCTTAATGTCAAGGCTGGGAGTCTTTTCTAAAAGATATTCTCCAGCTCACCCAGAAGTTATAATCCGAGGCAGGAATCGTGTGATGAAATATTCTGACCTGTATGTTGCGTGAAGCCGACTAAATAAGGTGGTCATAATCAGGGACCTATCAAATTTGTCATTGCGTGATTTTCATGGAAAATGGAAAATTGGGAGGCTTTGTGAAAAATGGCAGGCTCTGTAAAAAATGGTGGGCTTACTGCAAAAAAAACCCAAAAACTTACTGAAAATAAAATACTAGCTCCCTAAAGGGAGCCAGAAATTCTCACAACTCTGCAGCCCGAACTTGCAGCCTGTCAGAGGTGAAGGGAAGAAGGGGGCAGCCAGCACAGAGGGTTGCTGGCAAGATGACTGCCACCCCTGTCCCTTGCTACTGATTGGCTGACAGGGCTGCCTTTTGTGTGGCCCCACACCCTTCCACAAATCAGCAGCAAGGGGCGGGGCTGCATGACAGACAGACATCACAACTAATCAGCAGCAAGGGTGGGGCACTGGAGAACCTTGGCCAGAGGGGGGCTGTAGCGGGGTGGATACTGTGCTCAGCCCACAAAAATGATAGCTGCCCCTGGATCTACCTGCAAAATTGGCCGGTTGCATCCTCAATTTAGATAGAACCCTAAACATAATGGACCCTTCCAGCCTTATCTATCTATGAACTTTCAGTACATGTTGTCTTCTGGAAAGCAATGGATGCCCGTGCAATTCCTCAAGTGATTTAAGTTAAGCAGTTGCACTGACGTATTTTATCGCATACACATATCTTTTCCCCAAAATTCAGCTGCTGGCCATTAGGTGTACTATATAAACAAGGAAATATAACAATAGCAACTTTTGCTTCTGCTGGTGCAAAGCTAAAGTAATCCTGCAGTGTTGCACCTGGACACCTTTTCCCTTTGCTTCCTATCTCAGAGGCTCCTGTTGCGGAAGCAGGGAAAAATCTTTTCTTTATTCTGCTTTTCAAAAACAACTTCTGCATCTTATTTAAAATAATGCTGTATGTGAGAAAATAGAGTAATATTTACAGGATCTGGGCCCATATAATTACAGCAATAACCACACCGTGATGAACTGAAAGCAAACCCAATTTATATATTTGTTCCCTTTTCCCAGACTTGGGAACACAATTAAAATTACCTCTTTTATATTTTCCACACTCAGTTTTATTATAAAAATCAACATTTTATTTGTTACAATTCCGTTTATAGTAATAATTGAAAAGGAGTTTTGTACAAGGTTTATATACAGCTTATAAGTAAAGCACTTTATTTTACAAAATAAAGGTTAGCGAAGGGGTGAACAGGGATGACCAAATGTTGGTCACTATAATATAAATACATCCTTGCAAAGCACCATCGTACCAAAGTTGATGAACAAGAGACACCAGCTGGCTTTAAGACAATGACAAGCAGCAATTAAAGCTTACAAAAAAGGATTAATTAAAAATATATAGAAACAAAAGAGATTAAATATCTGAAAGCAGCACCAGATCCTTCACTTGCAAACAAGGATAGTTTAGCTTAAGACTGGTGGTATCCTCTTTACAAAAGATATATTTGATTTCCCTTACTGACTCAACTGTTTGGTTTGAGGCTACGGCCAATATAAACCAGGCCGCCTCAGCCTTTTTGTGTTCACTTAAAGGAAGGTTGTGCAGAAAACTTCCCACAAATCCCTGCCCATGACAATCATGTTTTACTGAGACAACCTCTGGACTAAATTCAGAATGGACAGTTTTGATGATTCTGAAAAATTTTGGAGACTGATCTCTTAGCTCCAAAAACATGTTTGCCTTTGTATCCCATAAAGCTCTGGAAAATTGTCCAATATTTAAAATTTCTAGTAACATTATAGACAATTACTGTACATTGTTTTTTGCTTCAGGTAAGCAGCAGCAGCCGCCCGTGCCAGCGGTGATGACCGCTGTCTACAAAAACTACCGCTGCTGCCACGGAGCTGCGCTTGGAGCTGTATGGCCAGTGGCAGGGGTGCAGCGCGGGGTGGTGGTGGGGATGGCTGCATGCTGTCCAGCCACCACCACGCTGCCACTGCCGCCCAGTGGCCGGCCACACAGTTCCGGGCACAGCTCTGCAGCAGCAGCGGGAGGTTTTGGAGGCAGTGGCTGTCACCACCATCACGGGCCTCCAGGTAAGCGGCAGCAGCTGCTGCGTGTGAGCCCCCTCCCCCACCATCCCTCGCTGTGGCTGCAGAGCTGGCCTCGGAGCTCTGCTCCAGCTACATGCTAGCCTCCCTTAACCCACTCCCCTGTGCAGGCCACCAGGTGGCATGTGTGTGGCCTGCACATGGTGGGCACCACCACACTGCGCCCTGCTTTTGCCTGCAAAGCCCCCTGCAGAGGGGCACCCCTGCCCTCACCCCCTGGCCCTGCTCCCAGCTGTGATGTGCTGCCTGGGGCTGGCACCACCCCCTGCTCCCTCAGCCCCCAACCATCTTCCCCAGTCCTGCCCCACAGCCCCAATGTACCTCTATGCTCCAGGGGTGAAGGGCGAGTCTGAGCCTGAGCCCGGCCTTGGCAGCCTCAGAGGCTCAGGCCCTGCCCTCCCTCCTCTCCCTCCCCCTCCAGGCAGGGCTGGGGGTTTCCTCGGCTCTTGCAGGCTGGAGCTGTGCCAGCCTGCAAGACCTCTTTGCAAAAGCAGAGAATCCTTGGATTTCTCTACTAAAAAGGGAAATCTACGTTTTCTCCAATAAAAATAGGGAATCCATGGTTTTCTCCATTTTTCCATGGGAAACGGAAAACCCGGGTCCTTGTTGATGAGACAGCTTTATGCTACCTGCCATTACCTCTTGGTAGAAAGGTGAGATGAGCCTTCCAGATTGGAGGTTTTGTACAAGATAATTTGATTGGCTTTGCATTCTGTGTACCTTACCTATGACTACAGAGTTTTAGAACAGGAAATAGGAAGTTACAGCTCCCTCAGCAAATATGCCCCTTTTGTGTAAACTGGATCATTTGCATACTTTGTAAACAACAATTCATTTAGCCTCTTCAGATATGTGAGTGGCTTGGATGAATTCTGGACTCATGGAAATGAGACCTTTAAGATTTAAAATACTAAAACTGGGAAACAGAATGTAAGTATTCCATCTCTATAGTTCTTTGTATCTATGTAGATGTTCTTGTTTTTTTTTAATTATACGTGCTCCCTGCAAAATGCAATATCATACAGAAGGAATATACATGAAAAGCCACATTTTGTTTGATTTTTTTTGTGATTCAGAATGCAGATCTGCAGTTATAAGTGTGAAGACTCCAATCCCACACTTGTGTTTACTGAAATGTCCCCTGGGTTTATTTCCATGTACTGATTTTCTGCTACAGACATTCAAGTGGGAAGATCTCTGGAAAACTATATATTATGCATACAAATAAAATGCCCTAGTCTCTGGGTGTCTGATTCATAAAGGTACTTAAGTACATGCTTAACTTTAGGCACAGGAGCAATGCCAATCATTACAATGGGACAACTTTCACACATAAAGTGAGCTGGTCCACTTACAAACCTTGCTAGCATGCACAGGACTGTTTGCAGGCCTTCATTTCAGTCCATTTAAGAAATAGCAAAGCACATGCTCCTCACTGAGAGGCAGAAGGCAGGAGGTGATTTGCTGAGAGGAAGGAAAAACAGAAGCTGTTCAGTGTCAAATCAGCCTTTGGCTAACTAGGAATGTGTCAACAGGGCCAAGAGCTGTAGTGATGCTTCTGTACCTTGGGCATCTGATTACTAGGAATTTCACAGATCATCAGCTCATTAAGATTTTCCTCTAAAATTTATGGTAAGATATTTGTGCTTGAAAATTGGTTTCAAGTTTCCCATTACACAAATTCTTTGGTAAATCAGAACAGAGAAACAACCTGCTCTCTGCATTGGCTTTTTGTAGTGCAATAAATCATCTGTCCATTTTTCCCCTCCTTATACGAATGTTTCACTCATCAAAAGAACAGAAGATGCAAATTAAGTACATAATGCACAAAGTTAAATGTTTAGATCAAAATATATCGCTGCCAATTCTACATTGACTTCTACTTCCATCCTGTTGACTTCAATGGAGTTCTATTTGGGTTTAAATCCATACAGAAGTCAGGCATTATTGTCCAAAGGGGAAGAGCTAATTCTTCTACAATAAGGCCTCACTGTAATCAGGTTCAGCAATGATACCTTACATGAAGAAAATCAGTAAAAGTTTTGAACCTTCTGGAAGAGGGTACCACATCTTAAGCTTAACCACCTCAAGAATTTTTCAAACAGAAATTGGCACACTTAAGAAGTATCTTGCAAGAAAAGACCACTGCCATCGCAGTACAAAGCAAATGGAATGAGATACAACAATGCAATATTTTTCTGAGTTCATTAGTGCAAGTTTCCACATGTGAACCCCACACAGAATGCTGCACATTTAAAAAAATGTAAACAGCGTAGAGGTCTCAATTCTGATCGGCACCTGGCCTCTCCTCACCCCCCCCTTGCTCTTCATATAAATAGACTGGCATCCCCCTAAGAGTTCACAATAACTTCAATGTCCATCCTACTGGAGATCACAAGTAAGTTTCTTCACCAAAAGGAAGAGCCAAAGGAACAAGTACCAAAATTCTTAGGTACCTAGAATGAAGCATCACCTGGGCTGACATTAGTGCAGTTAGTGCACCTGACTTTAAGATCATTTCCAATAGTTTGACGAAAATTCCAATAGTCTGAGGGTACTTTGTTTTAAATCTTCCTGGGGTATGATCAATTATTAGAAAGGTCCTTTACTACCACTAGAATTCTAAACTTCATCATTTCCCTTGAAGCTGAAACTGAGAGAGGCTCCAACAGTCATACAGAGTTGTAGCAGTGGCAAGTGTCATTCAAAATTTCCTGAAAAATACAGGTTGAAAATCAGACCATATTTCCAGCCTGCATCTCATAGTAAAAACTGATTGGGAAATGCATAACAGAGCAGTAAACCCATTTGGGTACCTATGCAGAGTGATTACCTTGGTACTAGGTCCCAGGACTACAAGGCAGAAGTCCCTCAGAACCCTCTATAGCAAGAGGTCAGATTTAGTCTGATGCGTAGCGTGGCAAATGCTTAATGTCACCCAGGATAAGATCCAATGTGAGCTCCATTAGGTTAGGTAGTCAAACTCAAATGCTGCATTGGGGTCAGGAGGAGTTTGTAAGATCATATATTGCCCTTCAGCTCATGCAAGTATTTTTAAAAAATGAACACACACTATCCCTTTCAAATTGCTGGGGGGAGGTAGGAGGGCTACACAAAGGAGATACACAAAAATGCAGGTTGTTAATAGAAAACGATTTGGTTAAGAGTAACTTTAAATTTGACACTCACAGTGGTTAATACTGAAGTATTAAACCCAAACCATGCCAAAGAGATGGTAATGTAGAAATCATACTGAGAAGAATGGCCTAAGATGGACATATCATGAAGAGTTAATTCAGTAGGAGAAACATTTCTAATGGTCCAAATGTCTATTTCTTATCGTTTGTCCCCCACTGACAAAGTTTAAATGCTTCCTTACTAGGAAAATATATATATTTTATATATGATTTGCATACCATGATATTAACTATACACTGAAAGTACTGCAAGGATATAGGATTCATTTACAATAAAACTAACAATTCATGGTTAAATTTAGAGTTTATAAATATGTTGCCTATATTATATGTGGTATAAAAATATTTGACATTTTGTGGGCACTGGATCAAAACAAGTGCGTGTGTTTGCTTACTTGCTTTTAAAAAGGGACAAAAATCATTCAGGTACATGCATATTACCCTTGTCAATTATGTCAGAATTGCACTGACCTGGTACAAAAGTGGACTCCTTCAGGTTTGGCAAAATGAAGAAGGCAAAAATAGAGTATGTATGACATCACATCGAAAAGACAGAGGATACCTTTTCATTAACCCAATTCCAGGGGTATTTGAATAAGCATATTAGGATGAAACAACATGATATCAGGGTTAGAGGGCAAGGAACACACAGGAAAGAGGAAAAAAAGGAAGGATTTTTTTTTAAAATGCACACAACAAAATTATTCGTCTTCTAGCAACGGAGAATGTTGTAAAGTGGTATAACATTGCAAGTGTAGGCCCAAAAAATAATATAAATGTATTTGAATGAAAAAAGAATGGGTGTATAATTATGATGTATTCACTTCTATGATCTGTGATATTCCAATAGAAAATGTAAAGCCCTTTGTATGTAAGGTTAGTATCTGTCCTGACTGTGTTTTCTTCAAGTTTAACTTTAGTTGCCGGCCCTCCATAATTAATGTAGAGGTTATTTGGCTACTTCCAAGTGTCTATGGTATGCTGCTCTGAGACAGACTTCTTTATTATTATTTTAAACATTTTTTGGTATTGACGAACCCCGCATCTCACCTCGCTGGACAATAATGCGTCCTGGTCCTTCCATTTTCAATGTGCTCAGTCACTTCACTGGATTAAGGCATGTTTTTGTGTTCCATTTGCAAAAATAAAAACTTTTTGTACAAATTTCTATCTTTTTCTTTTTTTTTTACAAAATCTTCGCATGGCACAAGCAGCAGATGCTGTTTAAGAAAATATATAAATATCCTCTTTTTTCTTCTGTACAAATATCTCCAAATATTCCCCACCCCATTTAATAACTCTTAACTGTACACTGGTCCTGCCTCACCCCCTCTGCAATGGCTCCCTCCCCTCTTCCCAATATGAACATTTTGTATTTACACAGTTGTAATGGAGGCAGTCAAAGGAGGGGAGGGTCCGCTCATGAGGAGTCCGTGCAGGGAGATGGGGGTGGTGGGTAGAGGTGATGAGAGTAACTCCGTTCTGTGTAGGGGGAGGGTGGGCAGCTCTCATAGTTCTCCTCTGCTGACAGGTACTGGCTGCGTGGTGTGGGTGGAGGTGGCACAGGCTCTGAATCATAATTCAAGTCACTGGTATAGCCCTTTGCCACTGCTGTTGTGACCCTTCGGCTGGGGGCATAGTCACTGTCACAAACATCTGTGCTGCAGGGTGTAGTAGGAGGTGCAAAATGGCGGTAGCTGTACGGCCTGTAGCTGAGAAGGCCACAGAAAAGAATTAGCGGAGAGAGAAACAGACCGAGACAAAATCTCAAACAACAGCACCAACGCAAGCTGTACTGCCTCACAACCTGGTAAGTGGGGGACGTACATAACAGAATGGAGATTTTTGGTGTTAGGGACTGAAGAGGAAGGGCTGTGCTGAGTATGTGCAGAGATGTTTTATTTCAAATACCAAATTTAAGGCACTGGTTTCAGTCCAGAGAGAAAGAAGTTAGAATCCCCCCACTCCCCCCTACTTTTTTTTTTTCTAGAAACATATCTACGTCACAGCAGCCAGAAGACATATACCTGAAGTGAGCTGAAGTGCTCAACAGGTGCTGTAGATAAGCATTTTTCAAATGGGTACAAGGTGGGGGGGAAGCTTATATATACAGATGTGGGTGATTTGTGTCTACCGCTCAGTGCAATAATACTCTAAGCAGATACAACTGCCAGCACTTCTGCCCCAAAGTCAGATACCCTAGAGAAGGGCTCCAATTCCTCTAGGCTAGAGCTATCCAATTGGGCTCCCAGCCGGGTGCTGGAACCCACTACTGTTGCTGCTACCCCCAACTCCCCACTTTGGCTTGTGCTTTCTGTCCCTGCCCCTGGGGCAGGAGAGCAAGTCCCAGGGAATCTTGGGGCTCTGAGATTTCAAGTGCCACCATGCAACATGGGAGCCCATGTGGTAGTGTGATCATGTGGCCTATAGCATTGGATTAGACCCCTCTTCCTCTCTCTTGCTTTAGTTCTAGCAGAAAGTCAAAGAAATTAAATACATAAAATTATGGCAGAGAAACGAAACCTTATTTTATGGAGTTGGCAAAGAGAGCATATTAGCATTAAATGAAATAAAAAAAATTAATAAAGTATGTGGATCTATAACAGCAGAGAAAACAGGCCACGGTTTACAATACTAAGAGGAAACACAAAATTGGTAAGAGCATAACAATTAAAAAAACCTAACAAAGTAAAAGAACCTGTTGAAGGTTTCAAAGGATTCTAAAAATTAAGAGCAACTATGATGAATAAAAACCTGCTGTGAAATCTATACTATACTGAGTGTAAGATGATCTACATATCCACATATTATCTCTAAAGCATTCTTTCTTCTCTTCCCCTCCTGACATATGTGTATTCCCTCTCTTTCAACCTGCCAAGGCCCAAATGACAGTGTGCAATACAAATGATTATTTGGGCAGAAAACTTAAAATAGTGTTCAGTGTATTCAAAACACTGTTTCTAGCATAAATAGTTTTCAATAATAAAAGTAGCAGGACCACTGGTGTGTGTGGTACAGGCATAGGTAAATCCAGGACTTTGTAAAGGGAGGTGCAGAACATGTGGCACATTACCACATGTAACAACACATTTTTCTGCAGTTAAAGAGAAACTAGAAGCTTTACTAATATGTTAGGGAGCTGGTGCTAAAATCAAAACAAAAACAAATATAACTATTTGAATTTGCATGAATGTGTTAGATTATATATAAAGTTTTAAAAAATACAACAAACTAGGCAAAAACAGTCAAAAGATATGCTGTCATTAGTTTCGTAGTCATTATAGTTAAATGTACATCTCTTATACAGATTCATAAAATAAAATTTAGCCTTCTTGAGTATCTTGACAGTGCCTCTAATACTGTCAGTCATTTCTACGTCTGAGGTAATATTACCATACAAGTTAAGGTTTTTAGCTACAGTTAAAAACAGTCTGCAAGGCTGTAAAACAGAAGAGAGGCATTATCAGGAATGGCTACCAGATAGCAACATTGCAGAAAAAAGGACAGTTTGCATAGTGGAACTTCAAGACCATTAAAAAACTGTTAACACTATGGAGTGAAGAGAGAATAGCAGGAATCAGGGACATGGTAATGAACCATGAAGTCAGTTGACTCCCCCACTGCTGCCCAAACAGAACAGCTGCTGCCCCTCTCAGGCAACTGCACGGGATCTAAAGTTTGGGTGGAGCAGGAAACAAAGTGAGGTGCAGCTGAACCACTGGACCCTGCCTGGATCCATCACTCAGTATTGATAACTTTGGGATAAAATGAGTAATTCCTGTAAAAAAACCCCATACAACACATTTGTACAATCATTACAGAGATTAAAGTTAAACACTTGTATAACAGTGTTTGCTACATCAGGCCCTTTGACTATAAATTAACTGGGGCATGGACTTTCTTTTATTCTGTTTAGACAACTCAAAACTGATCCTGGTGAAAACTAACATAATAATAATTACCTGTAGGATCTGTGAGTAGAAGGACTGTTTGACGAATAACCAAACTCCAAGGTGTAATGTGAACGTTCTGTTGCTGGTGAAGGCGGAGGATTCAAAATCTTAAAAGAAAAATACATGTTGTTTTATTTTTTTAATTGCCATGGTAAAATTGAAAAGGACATAAAAACAATACACTTGCAATGACAGCTCTACTCAACTTTAAAGAAAATACTCCCCTGGATCATGGTGTACATGTAAGAAGTCTAGGCAGGTGCCTGATGAATCCGCTTGTATAGAGTCCTGCAACCATCACACCAAGACCTTGGATGCGTAATTGTAGACAAGAGTATGGAGTGGAGACTGCCCAAAATCCACCATTCCCCCTTTACATCACTGAGACAGAATCCAAAGGCCAGAGCAAATCCAGATGTTCAGTGCCTTGATCACTGTAACTTCTGCCAGTAAGCAACAGATAAGAACTGCTGCCGATTGCCTAATGCCTCAGCAAGGGTGCATTTCTGTCAGAATTACATCTCTTAGTCTGTCTCCAACCAAAGAGTAAGACAGAGGGGGCTAGAATTTTGAGGCACCCTATACTCATCTTACTCTGAAGGTTGCAACATTGTGGTATTTTATAGGAGCTACCTCACCAAGAGCAGCCCCACTACACTGTCAAAAGGACCTCCAGTTGGATCCAGTTTACAGTCATACTCAAGACCATTATTTTATAGGTACCGTCAGTTAAGGGCTGCACATCATGGAAGACATGGCTTCTGTTTTGGTGCAAATTTTGTTACCAGATACTAGGGCTGTGCAAAGCTTTAGTCACTGATTCAATTTGGTGTAAATTTGGCCCAATTCGGCAGCCGAATCTCCAAAATGGAATCGAATCAGGAGAACCTTTAATCTCTCCAAATCAAATCAGAATCCTCTGAAGCGATTTGGAGAAATTCGATGATTTGGACATAGACACAGCTTTAAATGTTTTTTCTGTATACCGCAAGGTACCAGGTGTGGCTCATGAATTCTGAGATGGTGGGACAGATGGAGCATCCCACGGGAGCATGGGGGGGTCCCCAGCGTGCTCAGCAATGGATCCAGAAATGGACCAGAAGCACTTCACATCCACTTCCGGGTCCGCCATGGAGTGCGCAGGGGACCCTGCCCCCTGGCTCGGTGACTGGTGCCTCCTAGGTCTGGGGGGGCACCCGGGGTCCCCCCACGGCCAATCGCTGAGTTGGAAGGGCACGGGGGGGGTCTGCCGCCAAGCACACAGGGGGCACCCCACCCTCCTGTTGGACGCTCCATGTGCCCCATCATCTCAGCATTCACGAGCTGAGCCTGGTACCTCGAGTTATGTAGAAAAAAACATTTAAAGCTGTGTCTATGGCCGAATCACCGATTCTCCGAATCAGCACTGAATCTTCAGATTCAGCTTTGGCCAAACCGAATCGGGACAGTGATCCGAATCAACTAATCGAATAACTGTCCCCTGATTCGGGCCAAATCTGAATCCAAATTGAATACAGACTGTTTCACATGCCCCTACCAGATACCTTCTCAGCATCTTGCCAACTCTGTTTATACCACACCTATCTGAGTCATTATCAAGCTTTCCACATAAAGAGCTGACAAATACTGCTATTTTGATGCTGAAGAGTAAAGCTGAAGAAGGCAGTTCAATACTGGATAGTCACCGTGAATACTATGCCTTTGGCAAACCAGCAGATGTCTACTTCTACCAGCTCTTGGTCCTTGCATATTATGCTGTTTCCATTTTTTTGTTGTTGCTGTCTACCAGCAACCATGTATTCCCTAGATGGCTGAACGGTGAAATGCACATCAGCACTGAGAAAATGGTGGTGGTACGCTTTTGAACTAAAATACATTGAAAGTGTATTTGTTTCAAAGCGTACTGCCACTATTTTCTTAGCACTGACAAATTTCACCATTTATACAAATGTATGTCACAGCACTGGGCGCGTCAGTTTGTGTGCTCCACAAACTTGATTAATCGAGTCTGCTCTGATACGCTGGATTTTGGGCATGTTGGAGTAGACAAATTTATATGTATAAATGCCAGTGTCTAGGGAGTGTGGCATCCCAGACAACAGTCTGGGTAAGACAACAGGTAGCAGGAACTTCCTGGCTTCAGGCACAAGCTACAATACCAAGCCAATACCTGGCTGTGAGAGGATTAACACAGGACTGTCATTTTGACAGCCATCTTGGTAGCTGGATAGCATGTACAGGCTCTCTAGGCATACCTCTTTTCTGGCAAAACAGATTTCCTACATGCACCCCAATTCTGGTAGGCTAGGTGTCCACTATATGCGAGAAAATACAATATGTTGAATCATTTCACTGTGAACTGGTGGACACTATGTGTCCTGGGACACAGGTCTGGTTGGTCCTCCAAGCACCCCCAACACTGCATTGCCCCTCGCTGCCTACACTGAAGCAACTGGCTTTTCTAGTATTGTAGGCAGAGCTCCACTGCTTTCTTTTTCTGCCCATTTTGGTGGGCCTTTTTTTTTTTTTTAAATCAATCAGTTCCCTTCAACTGTTTGTTTAATAAAAGTTATCTTTGTAACACCTAACTCTACCCTCACTCCCTACTCAATTGCAGCCCATCATCATATCCATCCAGTCCCTGTGAATCAAAAAGCATGGGTCTAAACACTTCCTTCTGTCCCGAGTCAGGCAAGCACTTTGCAGATTTCTGTCATTTGGGCTAAGTACAAACATTCAAAAAGTCTGAGGCAGAACTGATCTAAGTTACGTGGTTTTCTGTAAGCAGCGTAGTTTAGTTCAGTAGTGAACAGAACACATATCTGCCTGTTGGTGGAGAAGGAAAATCTTAGACTGGATTCTGCCATTTTTAAACCAGTGCCAAACTTCTCTTTTGTTATGGGTATACACCAGTTTCCTATCACTTGTACTGATAAAAGTGTAATGTCTGTACCTGGACTTGCAGGCTACTGAAAGCCTACTGAACTTATGTTTATATGAGAATGGAAAGCAGAAAAGTGAAGCTGCCCCCACCCACAGGTCCCACACCCCTGGGGATTCCAAAAACTGGGTACGAGCACTCCCCACAATACTTGTGTGCTGGGAGATGACTCCATACCTTGCTGTCAAAGCCACACACTTCACACAATTGTGAACCAGTTCTCAATCTCTGACATTTTGAAACAGTTCAATTGTTATTTGGTCCACACCCTAATAGTGTGAAGGTAGCCATTGTAATTAGGGCTTCTACTAGAGTTATGGACAGCAAACTACACTCTCACCTTTACAGGTGAGCCTTTTATATAGTGCGTGACATGCTTGAGTTGGGCACGATGGGAGAAGTTCATTCTGCCTGTACTAGACCTGCTCTATGGTGATTTTACAAGCTCTAGAACAGGGGTGTCCAACCTTTTTGAATGTGGGGCCGGATCATGAACTTTTTATCACCCAGTGGGCCAGTAGGAGCGGGCGCTCACGTGGCCTGTCCAGTCTGGCCACAGCCTGGGGGCGCAGGGGTCAAGGGGTGGCGCCTGACCCTGCCATGTCCTTCCTGCCACCTGGGCAGCCTCAAGGATGCTCCCATACCTGCACACCTGGGCTCAGCAGCCAGGGGGACATGTGGGGACTCTACAGGGGGGTGTGGGATGTGAAGGGACCCCCCCCTGCTCCCTCTCCCCCGGGGCAGCCCGAGCCCAAGCGGCAGGGGTCCCTCCCTCCCCAGGGCCTGCAACTCACCACCCCCAGCATGATGTCTGCGGCATGGAGGGACACAGGGAGGCGGGAGCAGCACCGGCTTCCCGCCCAACAGCCACAGCAGCTGCGCCAGCAGCATCTCCCACAGGCCCGGCCGCATGCAGCATCCCTCCGAGCCAGCATCCACGCCCCCTGCGCCCGCCCGCCCACTGCACTGCAACCTGCTCCAGTGCATGCAGCCGGCGGGGACCAGCGCAGGGCGAGGCTGGCATGCAAATGAGGAAGGGAGGGGTGGGGCAAGGAAGGGACACCATGAAATGAGGGGGGAGGGGAGGAGCCACACCGCGTCGGCAACATCAAGCTGATGCAGTGCGTGTGGGAACCCTGTCCCTTCCCCAGCCCTTCAGCAGCCATTAGGAAGCTGCTGAGGGGCTGGGGGAGGGACAAGGGGTGGGAACAAAAGTAAACAGAGTTTACTTTAGTTTCACATCGCAGCACCGCAGGCCACAGAAAATGGCTTGGTGGGCCGCATGGCGGCCCACGGGCCATATGTTGGACAAGCCTGCTCTAGGACAATCAGATCAACATCTTTCCCCAACACTAAATCCAATGGAACTTTTTTTTAAGCAGAACATTTCTTTGTGACTGGGAAAAGGCATGTTGTATGTATACATTTTCCTCACATTCTTCCATTCAAATGCATTTATAAGACTACAAATATAAAACAAGAACCTTCACCTGCCAATAAACTAGCCTCACACACACACAGACATCTATCTGGAAGATATAGCAAACATGGTCCAAGAACAAAAATGTGACTTACAGGAGGGAAGTAAGTGCCCTTGGTACTCGAGGAGCTACTGGAGGATGCCCCCGTGACATGGGCCCTGTCGTAGGGTGGCCCACTACTTCCTCCCATGATACTAAGGGAGCTGATCACAGATTTACCACGAGACATCCCTAAAGAAGACAAGATACACTGTTTATAGCAGTAATCATCTCTTCAGGGTAAAAATGAAGAGCAGAGAGACAAAGTTAATGCTAAAGTATTTCTACAGGATAAAAACATTTTACATTTGAAACTCAAAATAAAAAAGCCTCCTGCATTAAGTAATCCTGGTCTGCTGGATGGAAAAGTGAAATCAAGTTACTCAGAAGATAAACATGTTGGCTTAAACCTATTATGGGCCAAGCTCTGGGACCTGGCATGGGGCTGCACAGGAAGCTCACGCAAAGACAGAGACATTCCTTTTGCTCAAAAGACTGGAGAGCACTGCAGCATTACTGCTCTGCTTGAGAACACACAAAGCCAATGCTCCTTGTCTCAGTCAAAGGCCTGAAATGCGTGAGAGAAGAAAGAGGGTTTGTGCTTTCCCTTCCACAAGGAGAGGTTATGAAACACAACTAAGTGGGACTGGTGGAAACCCAGGAGGAAAAGGGAGAGGCCTGCAAGTGTGCTTCAGATTATAAACAAGAACTATTCTCAGAGCCCCCTCTGAAAAGCAGCCTAATTACAGGAAGGTGGAAGGGGCTGATGCATTGTTTTAACTGTGTTATAGGTTTGGAAAGATCAGTTATAGGAAAAACTTTAGTTCTGAGTTCTGGATCAAAACGAAGCAAAAGCACAAGAGTTCATATTTTAATAAAAAGACTTGGCACTAACACGGAAAGCTCATTTATAAAACAAAGACATACAAAAATCATGCACATTAAATTAAAGATTAACTGCTTATATAACCAAATCTTAGTTCTCTGAAGCCTTCTAAATACCAGCATCAAATAGCAGTACAAAGTTGTAACCCTATTCCCAGATGAGAGGAAACCAAGGTCACTATGGTTTCTTGTTAAAAGGCCATACAGAACTTTCCACGAGAAAACAGAATATCTGTCTCCAGAGTCTAAGGCTGTTGTATTGCTTTGTGGGTGCTGGTCTCAGAAGAGGCTGAATTTCAATAGTGGAAATCATAATCCCCCAGGTACATGCACAAATTGGAACTTAGAGCTCTGTTGAGTGTTCATGGCTTGTGCATGACATAGCCATTTAAGTCAAATAACTGATTAACAAACAGCAGAGAGTTCACAACCTTACCTTCCAATGGGCAGATCCCTGGAATTAGCACATTGGAATTGGACCCAGCGCATACCTGTACTCTGTTGCTGTGGATCTACAATAGTTTGTGTTATATTTATGTGATGCCAAAAGACAGACTAAGGAACCCATTGCTTAGGTACCTTGTTACTTACCTGGGAGTGACCCAGACAAGGAGCTTGGGTGAGGCACATAACCAAGAGGTACAGAGGCTGGTCCATGTACCACGTAGTCATTGGTCATCGTTTCCCCATCCCCCTTCATACGTGGGCACAGAACCCTCTGGCAGATAAAGTACATTGCTCCCACAACAAAAACAGTAAGGATCACTCCAATAATTGAGCCAATGGTGTTGTTGGGCTGTGGTGCTGGCTCCTCTGTTGTGTCTGAAAGAGAAGAGGAAAATCACATTCTAAAACTGTGTCTGATCCAATAACTTTATTTGCACTAAGACTAGTATTCAGAGAAAAACTGGAAGCCTATACTATTCACAATTTATTACAGTCTCCTAATTAAACCTGTGTCATGAATAAATAGCCACTAGGGACTAGGATTACATTCCTACTTGTCATTAAACACAATTGCTTTTCACATTTGACCCAAGCAGCGCATTAACCTAGGACAAAAGGCTAAAGTTCTAATTAATTGTGCTACATACCACTACTCCCCCATCTCTGCTCAGTAGAGGCTTATTAATCAGGGCTTAGCATTTACAGATGCAAAAGAACAGACACATGGCAGCAACATACGATTCGGCACTTGGCATTTCCAAAAATACCTAACATGCCCCAAATTGTGGTAGCAGCCATATCTGATCATCAGTCCTAGAAGTGGTATTTTTGAGAGAAGATGCCAGAACAAGTGCATAAGTAGTCAGATACAGCCAGCTTTTCTGAAAGCATGAAACTCTAAGCAGTGATACTTTTGGGTACATATTTTATTCTACATATTTTATTTGTTGTCTAATCTCTTATCCTCTAATGAGGGGCTGCCTTAATCACACAATCCCTTGCCCCCTAACCTCTGCATCCACACTTTATTCCATCTGCTTGTCTCCCAAATTTACAGAGAAGAAAGTAAGTCATTAACTACAACTCTATCTCAGTGCATGTATGGACATAACTTTTCCTTTACCATTTAAAAAGAGAGGAAGATATGACAGATCAATGTAACATGTTGTATGCATAAGTCTGTGGGCTGCTTTACATGTGCAGGTAAAGGCATGATGGGATCTAATGCGTGATCTACACAATCGCATCTCCTGTCCTGCCACACGTGCTAGACAGAAGGTGTGACTGTTGGATCATGAATCAGATCTCATCATGTCTTATTGCCTGTGCAGGGGGAGCCCGATCCCAGGCTCCCCCCACACTAACAATAAGAAAACTCCTGCAGCTGGGAACCCCCATCAGTTGACAGGGCTCCCAGCTGTGGGGGCACCCAATACACCCCCATGGTAGGGAGACTGCAGCTGCTGACTTTGACTTCATTTTTTTGTTTTTTCCTGTTAATTATGTCTGTTACCTGCAGTATATACTTCTGTTGGAACTGATGGACAAATCTCCCTGGTCACAATATCTAATCATCGAGTGATGACAATGAACTTAAGGCTGAAATCTGTTCTGGTTGGCCTGTTCTTTTCCTCTATAGCCCTAGAGGTTTCAAGGCAGGCAGACACAAGGGATATCGTGTTCCATAAACTGTAATCTACAGCTATAAACTAGGCAGATAATTGCACCAAGCTTTAGACATAACAGAAATGTTTTAGGATGTTTATGCACAGACAGATGTGATTAATACAAGTGGATCATTATTTATCATAACAATGGGAATAGCTAAATTGTACATAGCTCTTTTTTTTAAATTCTGATTCTAGAAGAACTGCTTGTGAATTCTTTGGATGAGAGACTTATGAAACAGAGAAGAATGGTTTTGACAGCCCCACCAGAACATTGATGAGACCCTTATAGGAAAGAAAAGCACTTCTCCTTTGGACATACAAGCATAATATAATAAAGCAAAATTTACATTAAAATATCTAAAAATATCAGTGGAAGAATATTTAGATAGCTCTGCATTTAAGACTTTGTATTCAGTATACATTTTCATGCAAAAAAAGGCCAGATGCTACTTAGCTTTTTTCATTCTGTGGTTAATAATGATGCCTGTATATTAGTTACTGGGCAACCCATGAGGCAGGAGAACTTGCCTTAGAATTAATGCATGTGGCTCTATCAGTAGTTTGAGAGTGAATTCTAATTCACTTGGGAGGCACTGGGGGGAGGGTGGGGAAGGAAGGAAGGAAGGAAGCAACAGTTTTCCCTCACAGCAACCAAGTCTCTAATCACAGCTTGTAAACTTACAGCATCCATGCTTATCTGAGTTATCACTGCAGTCCAAGTTGTGATCACATTTCTTGTTTTTTCCAATGCACTGTCCACTAGTGCAGCGGAATTGATCAGTTAAACAGAGCACTGGGAGGGAAAGAAAAAGTCCAGAAATATTAACTATCAGTCATTTTGACTCTCAAACAGAATCAAGCAGGCAAGTCACTAAGACACACAACCCGAAGTCTCACAAAAAAATTACCCGATGCCAGTTTTATTCTCGGTAGTATTTCAAGGCACAATATTTATCCCCAGTGACAAACTTGCATAAAATGCAGTTCCTGGTTGTAGAGAGGCTTAAAGTGATGACCTGAAGGCATTATTTCCTATTTAAAAGGTTATAGGTATAGCTTGACTATATAAAGTCAAAGGCACAAGGGTTCTAGTAATTACAGGAAGTTAGCCCACAATAGGTTTATTATAGAATTGGCAGGAAGCAGCCTCTAGTTACCATTGCTACTTATAACAATATTTGTGGTTCGACTGCAAAAATAATTGTTATTAAAAAAATCTATATCAAGCTATGAAACTAAAAAGCTTATTTTAAGAAAGATTAAAGTTCCTCTGGTTGTTTCCATCATGGTCTTCTTCCTTCTCACTCTTTCTTTCTTATCCTCTCCCTGGTCAGCAAAACTCACAAGGAATGTGGAACCCTCACAAGACAAAAATCATTTGTTTTTCCAGTCATGACTATTACTTTACAGCACTTTGAATTTTGCGGTTTTTTGGAGGTTGCAGGTGGAAGACATCCTCAAAAAGATCTCTCAAGCTGTCTCCATTCTTAGCTCTGTATTATACAGCTACAATACAATAAGTCATTATGATTAACTGTTAGACACAGCATCCATTATGTAGTAAAAAGGTATTCATTTACCTATTATCAGGATTCATTTAATCCAAGGTTGTGTGTTTTCAGTTGTTTGTTTGGGGGTTTTTTTACAGCTGGCAATAAATCAATATCTAGCTCTTATAGCAGTGATTCTCAGCTAGGGTACCACAGCACCCAGTGAGAGCTGGTGCTGCACAGTGCTGTGCAACACTAGCACCGCTGTGTGTGCAAACATCTGCACGATTCACAAGAGAAACCCAGAGATTTCAAACAGGAATCCCCAGTGTCAAAAACTTTCTGACCTACTGGGGTGTTTCTAAGTTCTCTGCAATAGAAGAACTGTTCTATTATTTTACCATAGACAAAAAAGGTGTGAAAGCTAAGAACTGGTATTTTCTGGGAAGTGTCTTAAATCTAATGAGGGATACCTTGAGTCTAAGGCCTCAAGGTATTTTACAAAGGAGGTCTATATCTCCCTTCTTGTTTTGCTGAAGAAAATGAAGGATGGAGACAGAGAAGTGAGTTGCCCAAGGTGTCAAATAGCAGAGCACGGCACCCTTTATACCTTCACAGTTCTTCTCATCTGAGTTGTCCTGACAATTTGCCTCTCCATTGCACCGGAGACTGCTCTCTACGCACTGCCCACTTTCACACTGGAACTGGGAGTCTGAGCATACAGGACAGTTCTTCTCATCACTATGGTCTTCGCATTCAGTGAATCCATCACAGCGCCAAGCCACTGGAATGCAGTCAATCTCACCCGTGAAACAGGTAAATTGCTGAGGGGAACATGTTGGGGGTTCTTTAAATAGAAAAAAAAATGAATGCAATAAGTTAAAAGTCCATGTCCATAAGCAGCACATCTTCATAGGGAGGGATCAGGGAATCAGGCTGACAAACACATCCTCTCAGTACTGGAAAAATAATCTGAGCTCCATATGCCAGAGTGCAGGCTCATGTGACTAAAGTACCATTTGACTTGAAATGACAGGAAAGGGACACACATGCACACAGAAATCACAGGACAATTCCCTTCCTCCCACTCTTCCCAACATCACCCTGTCCTTGTACTTCTTTAAGCCTTCAAAGGTTTTCACTTGAAGTCACACAAGAAGAGCTCTACTCTTCTTCTCCACCCCTTCCCACAATCCCACTGTGTACACAAAAGATGGCTCACTTTCTTTTTAATGTTCAATAATGTGCTGCAGATGGATGCGCTGTGACTCAATGTCTAGTTATGTGCCCTTTACAACTGTGTTCAGTCAGACTTGTTTTAAACAGACAAAAAATTGCTCTATCTACTCAACTGCTGTTTCAACACAGCTGTTAGCAGTTACTTAACATTTACTATGCTAACTGTTAATCTCATGTAGTAAGCATGCATTTCTTTTTTTTTCCAACTAAGAGGCCATTTTTTTTCTGGCCTAGTATTAAGTTTGCTCTCAAAAAGTATCTGGATTATGTTAGTTCTTATTCCAACGTGTGACCACACGTCGCCTGGATGGCTAGTGAACTGCACAATAAATGTACTCAGGAAGGTGACACAAAAACAGAGTTCTCAACCTCTACTTTTCCTCTCTGACCAAATGGGGACTAGTTACAAAGGCAGTATCACCAAGGAGGAAACCTCCTGTGGTTCTCTATGACACCTCAGCTTCAGGCTGGAGTGAAAGGAAAGGGGAAGCAGGAGGAATAAGCACAACCCAAAGCAAAAGATTATTGAATGAGAGAAGTTACAATTATTTGGGGAGGGGAGGGAAGTTGCAATAAAAATAAACATGGCCTTAAAATTCAGAGCAAAAATTTTACTTAGTCCCCTTATGCCTCTTGCTTTCAGTTTGTGTTGCATGAGTTGAAGACAGGCAAGAAAGCACAAATCTATCCTGCCTTAGGCAAGAAGTTGCCAGATTAGTCTCCTGGGTCATCAGTCTTCTCTCTGGGCCACAGCCTACAGACCAGGCACAACAAGGGCAAAGAGAGATTCAGTCAACTTGAGAGAGTAGGACACATAGCAATGGCTTGAAATTGCAGTAAAGTAGACTTAGACTGGACATCAAGAAAAAATTCTTCATTACAAGAGCAGTGAGATAGAGGAATAGACTGTCTAGTCTATTCCTCTCCTTCATTGGAGGTTTTCAAGAGTTTGGGTAATTGGTCAGGGATGATTTAGGAATAGCAATCCATGGAATGTGCTGTGAAGAGTAACAGCTGGAAGTCCCACTTCTCTCTATCCTCCACCTCCTCTCCCCTCACTCAAACATACATATTGGTCAGGGATCATGACAAGAGCTCTGCAGCCCAGAGCAGAGCAGGTGGAAACTGAAGAGGACCACATTCAACAGCAGAAGACTGAAGCAGAGCATAATAACCAGCCTAGTTATGAAAGATTAAAGGAGCTGAGATAAATTTACGGAGGGGATAAAATGACAGAAAAGGGAATTCTGGGTCTCCATTCAGGATGTATGATGCATAGAGTTGGGTCTGCAATCCCCAAATTGAAGAGTGGAGGATATTTGGTTTTCCCACTCTACTGGGCTTAACTCTTTGCTACATAGTGCTGGGAATTTTTTTTCCCCTTCCTGTTGCTATATCTATCAGGGTTTTTTTTTCACCTTCAGAAGCATTGGGTGTTGACTGCAGTCAAGGCTAAGAATCAGCCATGAATGATGTGCCCCTGGCAGCTGGGGGGCACAACTGTGCTGGCAGCAGCAGGAAGGTCCCACAGACACCACTGGCACTGTTGACAGGGTGGGGGGTGGACGGCGATCACCCACTGGCAGTGGCAGTGGCAGCCAGGGGTGATCATGGACCACCCACAGATGCCACTGGCAGTGCCAGCAGCAGGGTGGCAAGTGGCGAGCGCCAGTATTGGCGGTGCCTTTTTGCAGGAGGTGCATGTGCATCTGCGTATCCCCCCTACACATCGCACCTGGGATCAGCACACCAAGGTGTGCTGATGCTCTTGCTGGAACCAAAAAACCCAGAGGTTCCTGGATCACCACATCTGAAATCAAGCAGGAATTTCACCACGTGATCAAAGTGGCATGAACTGTGAGTGTTTTTGCCTTTCTCTGTTGCAGGGAGAGGAGGGCCATAGTCCACTTCCTTGGATCTCTCAAGCATCTTTTAACAACAACTTCCCATCCTTGAAAGTGGTAGGACACTGACAGTGCCCTCACTGCCCTGCTTTATGTGTGGCAAATTAGGGTGTTTTTGAGGTTTCTGGCATTTATTCCTGGTAACTAAAAAGTTTTTAAGAATAGGTTATACAAATATTTTTCTAGGATAGTTTAGATAGGGATGATCTTGCCATAAGCAGTGGATTGGACTAGATGACCTCTTAAGGTCCATTCCAGCCCTGCTTTTCTAGGATTCTACGATTAGTCCCTGAATTTGGGAATGGCTCAGGCCAAGGCATATCCAGAACTACTGTGTCTACTATTCATATTTACCAAAGCATTCTGAGATCCCAAATTCAACCCACTTGGGGTGGAGATCTTGCTATAAAATATGAATTATGCTTTTCAAGTCCTACTGTGCACCTCCCCAAAGATACACTGACATGCTTCTTACATGGGTATCAAAGAAGCAGTATTCTATTGGATCTCTGCTGGCTCTCAAATAGCTGCTGAAGTGAAAAGAACTCTGTGTTTAGCATCAATGACCCTGACAAGAACACACAAACATGCATTCTGGAGTACATGCTAAAGAACTTGAGAAGATGGCACAGATTAAACAAAAACAGTCCTGTTCAATTCAGGTTTTTCATGTGCCAAACAAAAAATGTCAAACCAACAAAGGAAAAAAGCAAATCCCACCCCAGGTGTTTCAGATGGTATTACAGAACAGAATAAAATAATCATAATAACCCCTCTGTCCCTCCCCCCGAAATAAGAATCCTTTTAATATGTAAAGACAAATGGAAATCTGTTATTTAAGAAATTACTGGTATCCTCACCTCAAAGATAATGAACACCACCCACAGGGCCAACAGTGGGGTGATACAAAAAGCCCACAACGGTGTTGTATCAAAAAGTAAAGGAGCAGTAGTACAAGACAATTGGTTCTCTCACAGTGCTCGCCTACCTCTATAAAGGACCCCCTACATGGAAACCTGAAGCTAACATGCAGTTGATCCTAACTCGGGCTCAGTGACAACTGGAGGGACTCACCTCCACAGGACAGTTCATCCTGCAGTAGGACAAGATGTACTGGGCAAGAACAACGAGTGGTACCATCTCCCTTCACGATGCAGATGTGCGAACACCCACCATTATCTTGAGAACAAGGATGCTGTCCTGGAATTTTAAAAACAACATTTGTATGCAATTAACCACTTCCACGAATCTGATTGTTATTTTTAAAACAAGAGAAGAAATTAATGAGGGGAAAACTGTTCAGGTTCACTTTTTATGAGGCTGATCCCCTAACAGGCTCAAAATAAGTGATTCCCAACACCTCTATAGAGCCTCAGTGATTTCAATGGGGTTCTGCTGGGACACATGTGAAGTGGCTCATAAGCATAGAGCACATGAGTCTGTCTCCCTTCCCAAATGGGAAATGCCTTCAATAGAAGCAGCTCTAAAGACAGCTTAATTAGAAATGTTTTTGAAGGAAAAAGTTATCTGAAGCATCATGTACATTCAGGCAATGTCACATTTTTAAACAGTAAACAAAGCCTTATGTTTTTGTTTGTTGAAATAGGCAGGACTGGATCTGGAGGAACACAAGTTACCTAGGATGTCATGAAGCCATTCTCCCTCTATCTAAAGCTATATTTAAAAAAACAACTTTTCTGATTCACAAAGTTTAAGGTCTACAGACTGTCTCCAAAACTCAAATAAAAAGGCTCTAGATAAATGTCTTTTCATTTTAATGTTTAATAAGGATGACCTACTTCTTGAAATCCTTGACAGATTTATTGTGATCAACAACAAACAAAGCTAGTGGTAGGCTGTGCTGAGGCTTTAATTAAAATATCCCCAGGCAGATTCTGTAAAATTTCTCCAGCTCAAGATATACCACATAGCCTATATTAACTGGTGACTGTTTCCCCTAAGTTGACTGCGGTGCCTTTTGAGGGCTCAGTCAATTCCCTGCTAATTTTAAGTCTGGATAAGGAAGTTTCTGCCCTATTAACTTTCAATGACAGGTGCTGAACTAAAGTCTTCTAAACAGATAAAGTACGCAGTTGTGGACTACACCACTCTGCCACACAAAACTTGATCTGGGACACCACTTCAGGGAGCAACAAGATATGCCAGTCTGTCTCTAGATCACTCCTTCATGCTTTGTAGAAGTACCCATCAGGTTGCCACAGGATTTTGTGATGGGACCCTGCCCACTGCCAAACGTACCAAGAAAACTCAACTAATTCCACACAGGACACCGAAGAGACATCCAATGATGTTAAGTTTTAGCCACTAGTGACCCAAGCTGGATTTCAATCAATGTTGTATGGAAGAAAAAGTCTTGTGTGCCTTTTGCTACTCCCTGGCCACATCCCCACAAGTTATGATTGGTTCTTGATGATGGGACTGGTACATACTGTATTCCTGGATATTGAGTTCCTTAACAGCGTGAATGTCGCTGAGTTGAGCAATGCGAGCTTGCACCTTTGTGCGTCCTCCTTGACCAGTCATATCCATTTTTTCAATCATCTGCTGTTGCCTATCAATCCAGTAGAGCCAGTTTTCAAATACTGTCAGTCCGACAGGCTGCAGAATGTTGGAGTCTTCTAAAACAATTCGGTTTGCACCTTTGGAAAGGAAGTGGTAGTTTAAACAATAGGAAAAGACTGGGACAACACCAGAAACATATATTTTACAAAGATACAATAAATATGCTATACACATGCACAGCTTAGTATCCTTCATAGCATGGTGGATTTAAATTACACCCTTTTTTTTTTCATTTTCAGTGGGCACACAAATGCATTATTGCCTTCTATAAAGAGCTGGAACTAAGAGAAGAAAAACATACACAGTGGAAGTTTTGGGTTTTAGCCTTCATGACATCAGGAGTTTCAGTAATATGGAGGGGAAATGTGTATTTTTTACTCTCCCCAAGCCACATGTGAATGATCAGAAACCATTTTAAGTTTTGTGCAGGTGTCTGAATTTTTTAGTTTGGTCCTCAGGTGTTAACTAATGGAGATGAGATAAAATCCTAAAGAAGAGGTAGTTTAGTTTTCACAAGAGTTATGAGGTTTACATAAACTCTTGACTTTCCCATAACCTTTATTTCAACTTGCTAAAACAAACTGCTTTGCCTTCATTAAGAGATTAACTGGTGTTAGCTGGCTTGAATTAGAACACGGCTTTTTCCCTTGTGAAAATTTATCCTCAGTCAGCAAACAACCCCGAGTACTGATGGAGAAGTACATTGGCTGAATGACTGTACTAAATTGGGTATGTGACTTTTAAATGGTTGTTGTTAAATCTCAGGGTTAGTACTCCAAGCAGTGCAGTTCACTCCAGTCCCTAGAACTACTGGTGAAGACTATCTGCAGATTTAGGCCCCTGGCAAATGTTAATGTAATCACATGACTGTCTGAGGAATTTTAGGCCCAACCCTTAAACTATGTGACTTGCCATACCACACATGTATGGTAGGACATGCAAGGTTTGGGATAAGGCCTAAAATTCCTTAGATCCCAACTTCACAACTGCTGGTGGGAAGAGAGGTTAGGGCTGCTCCCTGCCCAATCCTGATGATCAGCTTATCACTTCTGGGCAGCTCCCAGGTTTGGGACACAAGAGGACTCATGCTGGAAACATGCTAGGCCATGGGAACATCTTTGTGGCTGTTTTGCCATTTTACGGTGTGATAAATTCATTGCATGTGGGGCATGTTACAATTTACTGTGTGATTAACATGTGAGATAAATGGAATGCCTGCCAGGGGCCTTAGGAAGAAAAATTATACAGCATTTAAGTTTAAAAAACAGATGCATTTGTCACAATCCAAACAGCTAGAAACTTAACACTTGAAAAACCCAAAAACTGAGGTTATACTATATAACTCCGCAAATTTGGTGGATGCTGATTCAACAAATTTATCAGGTCCTACGCTTAAAACCTCGCTTCCTGCCCCCACCTCCACCCCCCGTATATACATGCACTTATAAAAAAAAATTGCTTTTCTTTTGACAGACTGAAACATTACATGATTTTAAATTACAGGTAAACCAGAGCTGTACATATATGATAGCAGGTAATAGCCTGTAAATGTATTCAACCACATTATGTTAAAAAAAAAACATTGACCTTTTAACTGGTATAGTGAATAACCACAGACAAAAGGATGAAACATTTCTGCCCAAAAACACATGTGGAAGATATTGATTTTAAGTTATCTACTTTCAAGTATTAATGCCTGGATGTGAATTAATGAAGCAATCTGAATTTCTTATCTCAATGTTTAGTTATACCACTAACAATATTTTCCACTGTACATCTGTCATCAGATGATCTCAAATGCTTTAAAATATAAATTAAACTAAGAATTACTATCCCCGTTTTAGAGAGAACAAACTGAAGTATACAGGGGTTAAGTAACCAGCTCAATTTCATAGTAATCAGGTGGTAAAGTCTAAAACAAACCCTAGAATTCCTGACACTTACTCTGTAAGTGATAAACAGTTTTCTGATTCATTTTTCTAGAATGAAGAACCTGGCTGCTGGAATGAACTGTATGCACCTCAATGCAGAAATAAATGAATTTGCAATGTGGATGGCTAATGCCAGGCATGTGGTTAGAACAAGTCATCATCATAGAGATCTATTCTGGCTTTAAAAACTACAAATATGAATCACTGTATACATGCAAGATGATAAGAGAAGGGGGAACAGGAGCCATGCACAGGCCCTTGGGAAAAGGGAAACAGTATTGATTGTTGCCAGTCTTCAGAAGAATAAGAGCTTTATCTTTCTGTGTGGAGTTCTCTTACAGTGGAATGTAGGTGAGGGCAATGCAAGTGATATTTAGCATTGTGGTACAGAAACTTGAAAGCTTAAACATGCCCTGGTTTTTACCCATAGTTGTGACTAAATTATTACTACTAACCTAACTAGGACACTGAAATTTACTTTTCCATAAACTTGACCCTAAACCCTGAAGTGGAATACAAGACACACACACGACACCTGCTAGTCCTACCAGGAAGCACATAAATGAAAATCCTATAGCTCAAAGCATTTACTTAAACATAAACCATGACTAACTTTCTTCTTTCCTGATAAAAACCTTCCAAAAACTGTAACTTGGGGAGAGAGGGGGAAGAGGGGACCTGGCACTTACACACAGGACTGACTTTCAGAGAAGCTGTACAGCTGCAACTCTCAATAAATTAACAAGGAGCTATAGACAATTACATACAAAAATCAGGCTCAAAGTATTTTTTGGTCAATATTTAGTTTATTTGGAAAACAACTAGATATACGTGCTTCAGGGGTGTACTTGGTAGTTGTGCTGGTCTGGGACAAAAAGACATAAAAAAAACTAGAACTCTTGGTTGCAAAATGATACCTTTTTATTAGACCAACTGGAAAATGGCAAGAAAACTGTCCCTTTCTGCAAGCTTTCAAAGTCCCTTCGTCAGGCTCTGGGAAAAGTGTAGATGCTACAAGATGGTAAAAAGTCCCCATAGGTAGAAAATAAACTTCAATGAAGTTTGCCCTTTATCATGTGAGAACTCTGGGAAGTCTAGTCCTATCAAAGGAAGTTTTCAATTGGTTCTCTCACTAGGAGAAAAGAACTGGGCTCCAAGTGCCTTTTTAAAGGGCAAGAGAAAGAATACTCTCTCACATGTGAGGCATACTGTCTCTCTCCCTAATAGTAACAACAGTTGTGGACCCCATAGAAGTTACTCTGTCAAAAAATGCCTATTAGCCAGCCTTTTAAAGCCAGCTCTGTGTCATCAGTTAGAAATGAGGTTAGTAATTGCTGTGATTTATCTTACAGGGCAAATGCCAAAAAGTGAATGTTTGAAAAGGTTCTCCTCAAAGTTCATGGAGGGAATTGCAAGGTGTTATTAAGCAACATACAGGATCTGACAGCTGGTTTTTTTGAAGGTAGGATTGTTTAAAAACAGGAAAAGTTGTTATATAAAATGTCAGACGGGCCTTGAATGCTGGTGTCCCAAAAGCTAAGAGATAATAGACTGAGAAACAGGAAACGCATAACTTTAAGCTATCCATAATTTAAGTTAGGGCTGTCCAATAGGCAGTCGGTCAGTGGGACTCATCCAGCCCACAACGGGTGAACCTACAGCCTTCTGGGCCCCCAGGCTGGGTGTCATCCCATGACTTCTCTCCTCCTGTTACAGTCTCTGGGCTCCTCCTTCAACTTTTACTGGTCTGCCCTGCCCCTGGTGGGAGGGGATGTGGCTCAAGGGACTGAAAGAGCCCATGGCTGGGGAGCTTGGGGGAACCTGGGGACTCCACACTGTGCAGTGGCATGGAGGCAGTGCAGAAAGTGTTGTCCACCCTGGGGGTCTGTGCAGCATGCAATTAGGGGTCATGCAACCCCCAGCCACTCAGAAGCTGGAGAGCTCTGAGTAAGTCATGCAGGGAGATGTTGAACCTATACTGGGCAAAATCATCCAAGCATTCACCAAGCTACAACTTTCAGAAAAGAACTTACACTGCTTTAAGACATTTAAGTGCAAACCAATGGTTAAAGCATCCGATTAGGAGACCAGAGTTCTGTCCCTAATCTTTCATTGACTTGCTGTGCATCACTGGTCATATATGGTCTACCTTGCTGTGTGCCTTGGTTCCAACCATCTGGGACTATGGATTAGAACCACTTGTCCTGGCATACAGGCATGTTGTGAAGCTTAACTAATAAAAGACTAATAAAAGCAAGGGACCACTGATGAGCTCCAGCTGAGTGGAGAAGTCGCACCCTTTGAAGTAAAAGCCGCAACAAGCAGCTGAATGGATTGCCCTTCATTCAGCAACCCACTGTGAACTAAGTTGGTTGTGAACCATGTGGAAATGAATGATCCAGGTTTTACTGTATAAGGAGATACACATTCCAGTTGCCATGTTATATAGAAATGGTCAGTACATACTGATTTAACGCTACCACCAATAATTTTTTCCCCTAGCCACATACTTGATGTTTCACTTGACAGAGACTAAAGTACCAAAAGTGACAAAGCAGCAGGGATTTAGCTGCAAACAGGAGTTTGGAGGAAAATTAGGCAAAGGTCTTGAAACTGAAAATAGACAGCAAGTAACGTTTAGCAATTAGTAATGTAAATCACAGATTGAAGAATGAGAGAGAATGTGTATGCTGTCTGAGTCAGTCACATTCCCTGGCTGTGAACTTGAGGAATGAGTACAGTCCTGGTACTGATTGTTTACAGTAGAAAGGCAGAGGAGGAACCCTTTTTCTCTGCATTTCCCCACCTACTCCAAATGAGTCACCGAGTCTACTCTACCTGAAAGGTCACTGCTTTCAATTCTCCGGAGGTCTGAATCTGCCCAGAACAACTTTCCCAGCTGGCTGTCAATTGCTAAGGCTACAGGTTTACTCAAGCCACTGAAAAAGAGGACTTCCCGTTCAGTTCCATCCAATGCTGCTCTCTCAATTTTGGGAGACCTTTCCTGTAGGTTGGTGAAATACATGTACCTACAATAAAACGGGTTAGACAAAAAGGGTTATTACACTCATTTCTGCACAATTCACACAAAGAAACACAGATGCTGTTTAAGACAACAACTGATTTACCAAAGAAAATAACCTCATTTTTGACTTAGGGCTAAACAATGCTTCCCCTTTTGCAAGTCCCTAACAGTTAAGGAGAAGGGTGAACAGGACACCAGCATGTTCTATCTCCCAAGAGGGCTTTAGCACTGCTTATGGAGCAGCCTATCTCTAAAGAAAGTGTTTCTGGGGAGGATGTGGGAGAGCCATCTCACCTGTCCTTCCTTTCACTGGGATGCTTGTGTGTTGGTAGATGGCTAGCTATGTCTTTTAAGACACACCTAGAGTTGCTCAGCACTGTGCTCCTCTCCTTCCCTTCTCTTAATGCCAACTGGTCAAATGGGTACCTCCCCTCACTCTGAGTTGGGCTCAGCTCCAGAGTGAGCATAACTGGACCTTGCTAATTTCCTTGCAGTGCTGATCTTTATGTCAAAACTTCCGTTGACTTCAATAAGCCAGAATTTTACCCTAAGAACTGTTGAAGTTTTCAACCTTTAGCACTTATGCACCAGTACCAAGGAAACCCATATTTTGCTGAAGAGTCTTAATCACAGGGTTTCCAGACTGATGTTCCAGCCAAGCCCTCCACTGAATTATACATACCCTTTCTCTGGATTCACCACAATGGCCCTGGGCCTGTCTTGATCTCCTTTCAGCACCACACCCATCGATCTCCCATCCAGGCGTGTCACATTGATTACATTAGTGGCTTCACACGTCCAGTAGATGTAACGGCTGTAGATGTCAATGCTCAGGTCATAGGGCTGCATGTCCAGGTTCTGATTGGGAACTGGACTGGCCACCACTGTAAGACTCTGCAGGGAAAGGAATGCAGGAAAGTCACAGGAAGAACATTAAAACCAATCTGACCCAGGCAGTACAGTTCACTACATCTGCCAAATGCGACATTGTTTGCTGCTAGAAAGGATCCTCCAAAATGCAACCCGGAACTTGGAGACCCAGGTTCAGTTATTTCTCCTAGTCTCTCCCAAGGTAACAGCTGAATCAGTAGTGGATACATGTCACTTACCCATAAGGATTTATGGGGATGGAGTTAAGGCTGAAAAGCATTTAAATAGAATTTTACTGACAACCTTCATGCAGGAAAAACCTGCACTTATTTATACAAAAAAAGTAACAGAACAGTGGCTAAAAAGTCTGGGGATGAACAATGATATAAGTCAATGCACCTCCCCCCAAATCTTCCTTTTCTCCTCCCATCCAACTTCATTCACATGCTGAGGCTCTTCACATATGCTTCCTCATGAATCTTAATTCCCAAACTCCAGTTCCCTAGAGCTTCTCACCACTAGCTTCTCAGCCCAGCAGCAGTTACAGCAAACCTGGGAGTCAGCAGGCTATCTATCTATTTATATTATACAAAGCATAATTGCTACTTGGCATAAACAGCCTTTCCGCCTCTTAAAATTCCTCCCCACAGATACCTGGCTGCCATCTTCTTGTGCTTTCCGGATGATGTTTTGACGAGAGTCAATCCAGTAAAGCTGCTTATCCAGGGGATCATAATCAATGGCCCGAACATTTCTGAGGCTGTGGATGGGGAGTATGATGTCTGGACTTTGTTGCTCATCTATCACCATGCGATTAATTGCATTCTTCTGACTGAACAGCAAGAAGGTTGTAGGAGCTTTTAAAAAAGGGACAAATACAAACACAAAGAGCTGAAACACTGGTTACCTAGCTTGCTTAATAGCAGTGGCTACTACGCGAAAAATACCATAAAACATATACAACTTGGTTGTAGGAAGGACTTAAAAAGCATCTTTATTCAACAAATAGAAGACTGTGGATGTGAAGGGCAAAGTTAAGCTGTTTATCCTTCTCTTTGCAACTGAAAAACTGTCAAAATTGCCACAAAACAAAATGGTCAGTTATGTTTTTTCAGGGCCAGGGAAAGTAATATTTCACTGACTTTAAAGTTTGATTTTAAGCTAGTACATTTCCAATGGCAGGTAAAACTTTGCAAAATTAACTATTTGTGCTTTGCTACTAGATCACGGTAAAGTAAAGACTTTCATTAGGCTGGTACAGATGTGCTGCTACAACCCTCTCACTCTCTCAGGAAAAAAACTAAGGAGCCCAACAGAAAAATGTCTATTTTGGATAGGTGCAGTCAGGAGAATTTAATGTCACATTCTGCTCAGCTTCTCATTGCTCAGTTTTTAGGTGTTCAACACTGCTCTCCCCTACCAGACTAGGAAGAAAGCAAACATGTCCAGAAGACTAGGAGACAAGTGAAAACCTCATCCAAAAACAAGTGAATGAAAAATTACTTACTGAACCACTAAAAGCACTGCAGAAGTTTAGTTACAAGTGCTGAGTGCCCTCACTGACCAATATGGCAACCTCAGGCCGAGAAAGAAAACCACCCTGTATATCAAGTTCTCTCTTAAATAATATTAATCAGCAGAAAAAAATAAATTGTCTGCTACTCGAGCTTCATTCACCAACTGCAACTTCACAGTTATGCCTTCAGACAAGTGCTCGTGGACATACGTGTAGGTAATTTGATCAGAGATTTGACTTATAAATTTAAGAGCATCATTTTTTCATAGTTGTAGCACCAGTCAACAGTCAGCCTGGAAACAAAACTGTGCACCAGAGTACAAGCTCCAGCATCCAGAAATGTTTGTTCTGAGTTCTAGACTCAGAACATTTTGTTTCCAATGGTTTGAGTGTTCAAACAGTGGGGCAATGCTGCAGCTCAACCAAACTATGAAACAGGTAAGGTGAAACCTGGGGAAGCAGAGGTAGCAATGGGCACCAATGATCAGCAGCTTTATTTTCTCTCTCTTTTTCCTGCCCTTTCTCTTTCCCCATGCCTTCCTAGACTGCCTCCAGCTGCACCTACTCTTTGCTGCCCTCAGAACCCTTTCTGGTGTGATGGACTTGGACTTTTTTGGGACTGTGTACATCTTCTCTATCCCATAGTAAGCAGCCAAGGGGAATATGATCTGCCTGGCCAATTTCCTGCTGGGTCAGGCAAAGATGGCAACTCTGAAAAGCTACAGAAACCAGCTCACAGGGACCAGCTCCAATGATAAACTCCAGCTCTTCCACTTCTGGGTCTGGGCGTGTGTCACATTTGAACGTGGACATTTCACCTTGCAACAAAACGTGAACCAGTTTGTGTTGCACTGGGCCAATGAGGAGGCCCTCTGCAAGGTGGAGGATGGACAGCAGGTCCTACATGTGTAACCCCATGAGGAGCGTGGGGGAGGGCATTGCAATCTGGGGTGACATGGTAGTTTTTTCTGCTGCTAATAAATGTTTCATGCTCGACCCCTGGGAAGGCCGCATACCTTTGCACTTTTCACCATTTGTTTTTAATATTTGTATAATTTTTTTAAAGTTAAAAAAGTCACTCGCACAGACGTGTGTGCACACATGTGTGTACAGAAACTAACACCACAGAGTATAAACAGCAAAACAACATGCTTGGAAAAACTCAGCTCCCTGATTTACGGGATTAAAAAAAATAATTTAAGGAAGACTTGCAAGGGAGAACAAATTAGGCCAGAACAAAATAACCACTCAAAGTATGCAAGTGACCTTTCGTATGGACTCAAAACCCTTTACACCTCCTCTCCAAAAATCATCTCTCAGTTTTAGGGTCTCATTGACTAAGAGCTTCACATGGAGGCTCATTAGACCTGGTAAGTGAAGCAAATTTCCATATTGGAGTCACTAAGGCTCTGAAGCACAACACAGGTTTTTGGGAGAACATTTCCCAGTCTCCAGCATAAAATATATTATCAGTGGGGAGAGATTAACTGAGTTTTTGGAAGGAACTATGGGTGAAACACAGCTGGGTCCCAGTTGGAGGACTGTACTACATTGAACTTGAAGAACAATGCTGGCTCAGAAAAGTAAAGATACCAGAGCTAGTCACAGCAGTGTCTCTTTCCCATAATTAAGGGAATGTGTGCACACATGTGCAATATGGTTCACAAAGGGGAGGATTTGGCCTCCTGACCGGGCTTGTGTTATAATAATGATCAGAAATACAAAAGCAAATACAATAGGCAAGGAGACTAAAAATGATCCAAGCTCTGTTTACAGTGGCCAAGAGAAAAATTAAATCATGAAGAAAACCTAAGTCTCCAATTACCTACAAATGAGAAGTTGGAAAGCTACCAGGGTTGAACATAGCAAGAAAAAGCGTTTAACGCTTTATAGAAGACTTTGAACCCATGCTATGTAGAGGCAGTTCTACTTCTTCCTGATGTATTTCCTGCAATTTTTCTCATTGCTTTGTTACGAAGAGCATTTCCACAAAAACAGGATCTTTATAGGATTCTATTATTATTTCCTATAAGAAGTCAAAGCCCTCTGCTTAGGATCACAATAATTCACCACAGTGATGACAAAAATTATGCTTTCGACTTTCTGGAAAAGAGGAAGATGATTAAGGAGCAAAGATCTTTAGCTGTCATGCAACTGTCCCTTGTAGCAAACAACAGAAGAGAAGTGCAGAACATGTTGGGAGCATAAAGCAGAAGACTTCCAAGAGGATGCTTTCCAAAACCTTCTATGAGGTGACAGAACAAGAATCCCTAGATTTGACTTAAGAGTGGCAGGCTGGATCTCCTGAGTCATGTAAAATACAGGTGAGATATAATCTGTCTCTGTGTACTATGACTCTCTTAACCCACTGACTAATCTGAATGATACCGATGGAAATCAGACATTCAGCTTAGCTGCCAAAGTTACAAGAGCAGCACCAGCAGCCAATTATTGAGACATGGGTGAATTATTTGGGTTGTCTGCAGTTAGTTTCTAGCCAAGGGCCTTGTGGTTCTGCTCTGCACAACAATAGAGAAAACTGGGGTTTAGTTGCTCTGTGATCAAGATTTGGAGACAGCACACTGAAGCCTCTCTTCTCTCTCAGAAGCAATACCTTTGTCTACAGTGGGGCGGGCTTTGAGGGGACCCAGCATCTCAGCAGCCAAAAAATCTAAGTCACCACCACATTATCTGCCAAGCTACCTAAAGCTCATCCAATGTCCAAAATTTGAGCCAAAATATCACCTATCTTCTAAAGCAAGGGTGCTCAACCTCAACCTTAAATGCATCCCAGGGAGCCTTGGAATCCAGCTCACAGGTCTCCCTATGGGTCGGGAAATTTGGCAGCGGAGGAGCAGTGACAATACTACTGCCCCTCTCGCTGCCAAAATGTGAAGCTCCTAGGGGCAGGTCAGAACCAGGCCATGACCCCAACCCTGCACCCCACACATCCCAGATCAAGGCAAGGCCATGTAGTCTTCCCACTGTACGCCTGGACTGGAGCCAGGCCATGCTCCTTCCCCCTGTGCAGCTGGCTCAGGGCTGGCCCCAACTCCCTTCTCTGTCCTGCCATGGGACTGGGCCATGCCCCCACCCACAACTGGCCAGGTTGGGGCTGGGCCACACCCCCTTCCTCCTGTGGGGCCAGGCCATGTCCCTTCACCCTGCACAGCTGGTTTGGGGCAGAGCCATACCCCCTGCCTCATGGGGCTGGAACGGGACCAGGTCATGTCCCCCCTGCAGGACCAGGTTGGGGCCAAGCCAAGCCCCCTTCCCCCCATGTGCCTGGATCAAGGCTGGGCTGCTCCCCTCTGTGTGGCCAGGTGGGGCCTGCCTTGGGTGCCAGATTGGGTCCACCAACTGAATTTGGCCTGTGGAGGGATTGGGCACTGCCCACCTGGCCCATAAGCCAAAAATGTTGAGCACCATTGTTCAAGAATTCCCTGTTACTGAAGGGAATGATCCTGCAGGAACTTTTATAGACTAGTACAAAAGTGTTTCCAGCATCCCTTCCCACATAATCTTGCTCTAGCTTACAGACCTAGTGAAAAGCGGCACTAAAGTTAACACTTTAGAGGCTGGTTCTCTGTTGAGCTGCTGGCTTAATGGAAGATTTTTTTTAAATAACCTAACCTGTATCTGATCACTTTATAAAATATTAGCATATGAGAAAATAAACAACAGCTGAACTTTTATTACCACTGTCATCTGTTCCCACATCCTACTTTACAGATGCTGAAAAGGTTTCTAAAGAACTGTTAGTCTCAAAAATAGAGAAGAGCCATGACCTGACATACTCAGCTTCTGTCATCAAAACAAACTTTGCTGTCATTAAAAGAAAGAGCTTCTCCTCTTCTGCGTGTCCCCCCCCCACCAGCCCCTTAAGTAAACTATTTTTATCCATTCGTTGCTATTCCCAATAAATGATGGTAATGGATTTTATATTTTAACCATGCTTCCCTCACATATTCCCATCATAACAAGAAATGCAGCTTCCTCCCAAGGCTTCTAGCTATTAATTTGTGCTGAGGACTTACCACTGCAGGTCCTGTTGTCAAAATTCAAGGAGTAGTGAGCTGGGCAGCCGCAGACAAAACCACCAATGGGTACTGCTAAACAGAGATGAGAGCAATGCCCATTGCTAGATGCACATTCGTTCCAACCTGCCTGTCGGGAAGAATGGAAGACCAAGATATCCATAACGTAATCCAAGTGTCCTTGAATGATAGTTCGGTTCTGGCCGCTGGTTTTGTTGGCTCGCTCAATGCTGCGCCGGCTCCAGTCTGTCCAATAGATGTAATCCTGGTATTGAGTCAAGCCAAACGGGTGAGGCAAGTCATCAGCAATAACCTCACGGTCAAGACCTGTTTTCAAAAAACAAGGGAGAAAGGAAGAATTATTGGGGAGCAAATGAATAATTCATAAGAATGCATTAGATAATTATTTCAGAGTAATGTTGTAGCAGCTGTGACAGGCCAGAGAATATTTCAGAAGCAAGATCTGCTCGGTGATACACCTTGTATTGGACCAACTACATAGTTGGGAAAATGTTGGGCAAGCTTTTGAACACAAAGTGTCTTTCCTCAGATCCTGTCCTGAGGAAGGACGTTTATGCTCAAAAGTTTTTCTGACATCTTTACCATCTATTTATTTCAGGCCCCCTCTATACATGCAGGTTAAAGCGTGATGGGATGTAATATACAATCCATACAATTGTGCCTACTGCCATGCCATGTGCACCCCTGCAGCTGGGTCACCGCGGGTGGGTGGGGGGAAGAAAGGAACGATACGGGGCGGCTTGGCTTCCAGATCTGGGGGTGCACAGGATTCCCATGCAACTGGGAGTCTTGTCAGCTAATGGGACTCCCAGCCACAAAGGCACGTTGTCCTGCTGCTGGGAGTCAGGTTCAGCTGGCAGTTCTCAGGCTCTGGGGTACCCATGGGCCCCACCATATGGGAGCTCCGATCAGCTGACTGGGTTCCCAGGCACAGGGGCCCATGGTCATATGTTCTATTAATTGTGTGATAGAAAGCACCTATGAAGTTATTACAAATATTTAGTGGAATAACTTTGTAGCTTATTCCTCTTTTATCACTCCATTAAGTGAATGAGCGTGTGGCTGGGTGACTACTTAAGACATGATTAACTAGTTAATCACACCTTAGGTGTAATGTAGCTGGGGCCTCACAGACATTTAAAACAAAAGGCTGTGACAATTTAGATTGGTCAAATTCCATAAGGGTGATGAGCACCTGGTGTCTACCCATCTTCAGACATCTCCATCATACTTACTTCATACCCTTATCTTTGATATAAACTGTGTTGACATACTGTAGGTATAAACCCTATATTTTGGGAGTCTATTAAATTACACTACTATCTGGATATTATCCACTGTAGCAAAACTAGACACTCCAAAAATTTACCAGTTGAGAGCTTTGTCTTACCTATCACTAATACATGCTGTTTCTGTAATTTCAGCTTTATAAGCAACTACATTATAAGAAAATTGAGGCCTCACTGGATTCACTATTTCACAAAGCCTACTACAGAACAAGAAAAAAAAGTAAAGTTGGGCAAAGTTAAAAAAAACTGAACCTGATTTTAAGACCATATATACACCCCAGGAAATCATGCACAGAAAAAAAATCAAAATTATGCACAATTAATTACTTTTATTTTTTAAAACAAATTAAACACAATATAACACTATTTAAACCTGCATTTGAATATATGCAGGTACTTTGTATGGTTAGGTGTGGGGGAGTGTCAGTGGGGGGGGATTTGTGGACAGGTGTGGGGTGGATGTGGGTATGTATTTGGGGTTTATGGATGGGTATGGGATTTGTGGGGGGAAGTTGCGGGTGGGTGTAGGGGGTACAGGATGCGTGGGGGAATTTGTGAAGGTATGGGGGGTGTGTATGGGGCTTGTAGACGGGTGTGGGGGGGGATGTACCTATGGGAGTATGGGGAGGGGTTGTGAAGGGGTGTGAGGGTGTGTGTGGGGGGGGGTTGTAGGTGGGTGTGAGCCCCCCCCACCACACATGCACCCACCCAGTGCACACCCCCACCACTGGATCATCATCAGCAGGCCCTCAGGGTGCTCATGGCCACTGCAGGCAGAACCTCCTACAGCACATACCTCTGGCTGAATCCCGGGGCCTCCACATGCCTTCAGACCAGACCGGACTCATCCATGACAGCATCTGGAGCTCCCGGCATTGCAGGTGGAAACCATGTGCCATTTGCCCAGGAGGGCTCTGTGCCTTCATGTGCAGCTTCCCACTGGAGTTCTAGAAGGCCCGTGTGGAGGCACAATGCTGGCTGGCCCAGCCTGATGGAAGATCAGCTGGGAGCCGCGTGCCATGGGGCTGGGCAGGCTCCGTGCCTCCATGTGCAGCTTCTGGCACTCCAGCAGCAAGAAGTATGTAGAAGCAGAGTTGCGTGCCATTGGACCGGGCACGCTCCATACCTCCACATGTGGCTTTCCTATGTGGAGGTATGCAGCCAGCTGGCCTGGCCTAATGGTGCATGGCCCACACCCACCTACAAATACCTCCATGCCCACCCACAAACCCCACACCCTCCCTGCCTCTTCCTGCAGGCAGGAGCTCCCTTCCCCACTTACCCAGATGTCCAGTTATGCAAAATTATGCAATTATGCATGGTCATGCTTTTTATGTGAAAATTGCAGGGGCGCATAACTGCATAATTCCCCAGGGTGTACATATAGCCCTTAGAGGTACTGTCTCTTAAGTACTGAGAGACTGCCAACACAAAAACCAAACAGAAAACAGAACAGCCGCTCACCTAGCATATTGGAAGATTCTATCAAGTTGGTATCTAAATCAGTCCAGTAGAGTCGTCTTTTGGCATAGTCAATAGTTAGCCCATTAGCTCGTCCCACATTTGGTACCAAAGTAGTACGCTCACTTCCATCCATGGCAGCTCGGTCAATCTTGGGCTTCCCACCCCACTCGGTCCAGTACATAAACCTGGTTAAAATGCCAGAAATGTGATATTTATCCAATAGAGAGTTTTAAGATTGACAAAAACTTGTAATACTTCTTGTCAAAACTTGAAGGCAAAACAGGAAAACACCAAAATAAGACAACAAAAGAGAAGTAGGAACAGATGACTTAGAGGTATACATTTAAGCATTTATTAGAACTCCTAGCACTCCATTTTTTCCTCAAAATACAAGTGAGGAAGTGAGTCAGATTTCCTTACACTGCTGCCAACAGTATTTTTTTCTTTATAGAGTTGGACCTTTACCAATGATTTCCTTACTGAAGCACTTCAGTCTTTAACAAGTTTACACGTGTTAGCTAACACTCAACCAGGCGGCAACTGAGCACACTAGTTTATGGGTTTTTTTTACTTATTAAGAAGCGGTCCATGGCATTTCATATAAGCAAAAAGGACTTCCTCTACTTCTTTGCCTTTGCTCTTTTTTAAATAAGTGAGTATGGAGTGAGGATACATCTGTAAAATGCTTGTTCCCGGCCAATTTCACACCAGCAGTTGTTTGATTCTCTAGGCACCAGTGGAATCAATTGTGTTCAACGACACAGCATCATAAAACCCTATGGCACTTCCATTCAGATCAAAAGTGAAAGAATTATGTATCCACATGCTGATTTATTTACTTCCATATTGGAAGTATAGTGTCAGTCAGATACTGGAAGTTTAACACACAAGTATATTACTACATTAATGATGCTTTATTGTTTTAAGGAAGGTTTCTTTATGTCTTGGGTAAACATCTAATATTAGAAAGACAGTGGTGAAAGAACAGGTTAGGAACTATTTATAAAAGCTAGATATGTAAAAGTCCATGAGGCTATATGCGATGCACCCAAGATGCTGAGAAAGTTGGCTGATGAGATTGCAAAGCTGCTGGCCATTATCTTTGAAAACTCAAGGTGACAGAGAGGTCCTGGATGATCGGAGAAGGGCAAGTATAGTGCCCATGTTTAGAGAAATGGAAGAAGGAGAATCCAGGGAACTACAGACTGGTGAGCTTCACCTCATTCCCTGGAAAAGTCATGGAGCCAGGTGGACACTCAAGGAATCCATTTCTAAACACTTGGAGGAGGAGAAGGTGATTACAAACAGTTATCATGGATTCACCAAGGGCAAATCATGCCCGACCAACCTGACTGCCTTCTGTGATGAAATTACTGGTTCTGTGGATGTGGGGAAAGCAGTAGATGTGATATACCTTGATTTTAGCAAAGCTTTTGATGCAATCTCCCATAACATCTGTGCAAGCAATGTAAGCAAGTGCAGATTGGATGAATGGACTGGAAGGTGGAGAGAAAATTGGCTGGATCATCAGCTCAAAGGGTAGCAATCAATGGCTCAATGTCTAGTTGGCAGCCAATATCAAGTGGAGTGCCCCAGGAGTTGGTCCTTGGGCCAGTTTTGTTCAATATCTTTATCAAAACCTGGAAGATGGGATGGAGTGCACCCTCAGCAAGTCTGCAGATGACACCAAGCTGAGGGCTGTAGTAGATATGCTGGAGAGTAGGGCTAGGATTCAAAGAAACCTAGACAAACTGGAGGACTGGACCAAAAGAAATCTCATGAGGTCCAATAAGGACAAGTGAAAAGTCCTGCATTTAGGATGGAACAATCCCATGCACTGGTACAGGCTGGGGACTGACTGGCTAAACTGCAGCTCTGCAGAAAAGGACTTTGGGGTTACAGTGGACAATAAGCTGAATATGAGCCAACAGTAGTAGAAGCATTGCCAGCAGATTGAGGGAAGTGATTCTTCCCCTGTATTCAGCACTGATGAGGCCACCTTGGGAGTACTGTGTCTAGTTTTGTGGCCCCCACTACAGAAAGGATGTAGACAAACTAGAAAGAGACCAGTGGAAAGCAATGAAAATAGTTAGGGGGCTGGGCCACAAGACTTCTGAGAAGAGGCTGAGGGAATTAGGCTTATTTAGTCTGGAGAAGAGAAGATTGAGGGGGGGATTTAATAGCAGCCTTCAACTACCTGAGGGTGGTTCCAAAGAGGATGGAGGTAGACTGTCCTCAGTGGTGGCAGATGACAGAAAAGGAGCAATGGTCTTAAGTTGCAGCAAGGGGAGTTTACATTAGATATCAGGAAAAACTCTCTCACTAGGAAGGTAATAAAGCACTGGAACAGGCTACCCAAAGAGGTTGTGGACTCTCCATTCTTGGAGGTTTTTAAGACCCAACTAGACAAAGTTTTGGCTGGAATGATCTAGCTGGGGATGGACCTGCTTTGAGAAGGAGGTTGAACTAGATAACCTCCTGAGGTCCCTTCCAGCCCTAATTTTCTATGATTCTAAGACAAATACTTTAGAACTTATTCCAAAATTTAAAAACAACATAGCTGTTTAATATTTGAGGAGAGCAGCTAGTTGAAGTTAACACCTTTATCCCATGTCACAATCAAGTTCAAACAAACCTGTAAAGTCCTTTTAGCCTTTAGCCAACTTTTCTCCAGGTTGGGAAGAGTTACTTTACAGAATCAGAGAAAATAGGCTCCAAGGCAGGGCTAACTATAATTTATAACTACGCAAATAGGAAAATATCTGTCTAACCTGATCTAAAAAATGTCTAATAACAGGAACTCCACAACCTCTCCAGGTAATATATTCCAGCGCTCAACTACTTCAACAATCACACTGTTTTTATTTTCCTAATGTCTAACCTAAATTTTCTTTGTTGCAGTTTGTTGTCATTACTCTTTGCACTACTCTCCGTGGACATCACCTATTAATGCTACACTTACTCATTTTCTAGTTGAGATAACCAAACACCCTATCCTCCAAATAAAATACACGATGAACTTCCTTTCTGTTTGGGGAAGAATTTTTTTATCCGCCACAGTCATTTTCTTTTCTCTATTTTAGTTAGTCACTTATTCTTATATATTTGAAGACCGTTATGTCTCCTTTCAGAGTTTTCTCTTCTTTAAACTCAACAAACTCATTTTTTCAACCTTTCTTCACAGATAATGATTTCAAGAACTCTACTCATTTCTATTACTCTTCTTTGCACTCTCTCAAATAGATCCAGACCTTTCTTGAAATGCAGTACCTATCATGGTCCAGGCCTTACCATTGCTGATAGGGTGGAAAGATTACGGTGCATGCCTTCTGCACAATATTTCCATTTATACATCCCAGCCAGGGGCTGAGTTTTTTGCATGACAGGCTGACACTTGACTCAAATTTAGTAAGTAATCTACTATATTTCCTAGATACTTAATATGCAGAACATCTGCAGATCAAGACTGACTAAATCTTCCTTTAGCCATTAGAAATGTCTAACAAACCTTCCCCCAATCATCTAAGCATGTGCTGGCTCTGCTTATTAACCATGCCAACATAGACTTGGGGGAGTGAAGCAGGTTGGCAGAAGTGGGGGAGAAAAGGAAGGAAGGACACTGATTTATTCCAGGTTTAGCACTGGACTGAGGCCTTTCAGCACAAAAGGAAATAGAACTTAGCTGAGTTTTGGGACAGAAGACAACTCTGCAGGATTTCTGAAAGCTCCCAGTCTTCACCCCTTTCTACCAGCTCTATGCAAAGAATGGTAAGACTACTAAGGATAAAAGACTCATATGTTCCTAATGGCAAATAAGAATAAGTGAAGCATTATTCTCTGCAAACTTGCTAGCAGTGTTCAGAGACTCTCCAGTACACTTGCACAAGTTAATGACTTGACCTCAGGCTCCTGAATCCAAGCTCCCAAGCAGGCTCTGTACAGAATACAGTTCAACTAAGTCCTGCTACATCAGTGTATATCACAGTGTTTTGTGCACTGCCAGCAGAAGGGCATTGTACCAGGGAGCCAGGGGGTACAATGGTAAACACATCTAACTTAGGGTAGGCCTATCCTGCACTCACTGCTGTGACCACAGCATAGGACAGACATGACTCAGTTACTTTAAGAAGACCCTGCAACAGGCTGAGCTGAGCTGGCTGCGTGGGGGCTGGCAGCTAGAAAGCAGGTTAATGGCTAGTGAGCCAGTTGCCAGAAAGCAAGCAGACCAGCAGCCATGCAGATAAGAGGCTACCCCAGAGGATAGCAGCAGGGCAGTAAGCTGCGCCAGGGCAGGTGTCTAGGCAGTCTAGCAACAAAGGGGTGCAGGCAACTGAGCTAAGATGCTGCAGGGAAAGGTAGACCGGTCATCAGGTCCAAAATGAAAACCCCTGCAAGTGGCTGGAGAGCCAGCTGACAGGAAGGGACAGGGTTTAGGAGGCATATAAGGTCAGTGCCTGAGACATGGGGGCCAGTCTGGCCCTGCAGGTGACAGGGAAAGGGGCTTCTGAGTAGGATGGCTGCAGGAGAGTGGCTAATACCTGAGCTGCCCTGAGACCTGCAAGTAAGGAATGTACAGCCTCCAGGGAAGCATGACCCAGTAAGGGGAGAATTTTCACATACAGCCAGCGGGCTTGTGTTTACGTTTACACCCAGTATGGGAAGACTTTTGTTATAGGGCTTGCAGGCTTGTGTTTATGTTTGGGTTATACTGGTGGACTAAGAGCCACTATAAGGGGTGATGAGGTCACAGTGAAGCTCCTGAGGAGTGCGCTGAAGTTCAAGCCACAGGGGTACCTGATGAGGCATGTAGGTGTTTTTAGCTCCTCCACAGCCCAGGGCAAGATGCTGACAGGTCGAAACCTAGAGGGTTGAAAGCCTGAGCTAGAAAAGAGAATAGAAGCAGCGTGAAGCCAGGAAGGCTAGGGCTGGAGCCCAGGAGAGGTGAAAGCCAGGGCCAGAGGCCCATAGCCTGGGAGGGGCAAAAGCGAAGGCCAGTGGCCTGGAGCCAAGGATGGGTGAAAGCCAGGGCCAGGGGCCCAGAGCCCAGGACAGGTGAAAGCTAAGGGGAGGGGTCCCAGGAGCTGAGATCCAAAACAGTGGGCCTTGGGCTATGGGCCCAGTTAGAAAAAAGAGGCAGAAGCTGGGAAGGTCAAGGCTCCAACAAGGGCATAGAGGCCTGGAAAGGCCTGACACTGCAATGAACCAGTAACATCTTTGAGGCATGGGCGTGGCTGTAGCGATGGAAGGAGGCCACGAGCAGTCCTTAAGGCAACCAGTGTGCTAGAGCACAGACAGGGCCAGAAGGGCACCAGTTAGCCCCTAAGGGGCAGGACAGGGATCGGCTGGGTTCAGGAGGTACTCAATATCTGATAATAAAGAAAGGCTCACTCTGGGACCCTGGGGCAGCCTCCCTTTTCATAATCAGATTATTCCAACAAATGCATGGCAGGTGAGGGGAAAGGGAAGTTACCCTAGGAGCCAGAGCAGCGCAGAAGCTGCATGGCCATCAGAGGGTGTCATGCCCCCAGGGTCTGATCCTGTTACAGGCATAGAAGTATAGTACTAAATTCTCTATATTACTGTAGCTCCTACTATAGCAAGGGTTTTCAACCTTTTTTGGTTGGTGTACCCCTGGCAGCTAGTCAAGAAGCAGGGAGTCCCCCAGCGGCTGACAGATGAGCAGGAGGGTGAGGGGGGGTGCCCCCTAGGGGCATAAAACCAGAATTGCCAGTGACACATGGTAGCCAAAAGCAAAAGAAAAGTATTGGCTGTCCTGCCCACCCTGCGCCGCTGCCACATACCCTGTGGAGCCTTCCCAAGTATCCTCAGGGGTATGTGTACCCCTAGTTGACAACCCCTATGCTATAACATTGGAAACTACGAATTTAGAATATCTAAAAATCAGACCTTTAGCTTCTGTGTCTTGTTTTTCCCACCTGTAAAATATGTGCAATACATAACTAGCACACCTCCTATGGGTCTTTGCCAGAAATAAATTAGTTAAGGCTTGTAAAGTATTTCAAACGGTTCAAGGGATATGCAGATATGAAATACTACAGGTTTTCTCCTTCATTTGTGCTATACATTTAATGGGAACAAGTCCATTTCTCAACATTTCATCCTGGAGCAACCAAACAAAGATCTCTTTTTATACTCAAGCAATGAGCTTCTCTTCTTCCTTCAAAAGCAGACTATGTCATACCCCTTCACAGCATCATGACCCGTGCTGAAGCTCCATTTTAAAAGGAATAACTGTTTTGTTTTCAAAGTGACAAAACTTTTCTAATTAATGAATTCCATAAACTTACAGCTAACTTCATTGCATGGTTAATTAAAAAACTAAATAAAAATCACTTTCTAATGAGCATCTCTGATTTTTCAGGACATGAAGAATCTATTTCTAGAATCTATTTCTCCAGACTTTCTCCAGGTTCCAAATTCCTAGGTTCAATTCCCTAGCTGGATTCACTCAGGACTTACATGTGGGTACTTCCTTAACATGCCCTACAGAGAATATTCATGCATTATTTTTAAAATGTTCATAAGCACAGGATTAAGTCAGTGAGTTACCCCTCAGCAGGGTCCAATGCCAGCGCCCGGGGACTGTCCAGGTCCTTCCATACCAGCACTTGGCGATGCTGCCCATCCAGTTTCGATACTTCTATGCGATTTGTTCCGGTATCGGCCCAGTACAGGTTCTTCCCTAGCCAGTCAACTGCCATGCCTTCAGGGTAGTCCAACCCGAACTCCACCACATGTTCCAGTGCGCTGCCATTCATAAATGCCCTGCTGATAGTCTGTGGGGATGCAAAGATTCATAGAAACTTTACCAGTCCGTCGCTGGGTCTGAATTTAAAAGCCTGCAGACTTCAAGCATCTTGTAGGAAAGAGGATCATACAATATGCTACATATTTGCTCAGTGAACAATGCTTCTATTCAGAAGCAATGACTTGCTATACTCCATGAAAATATTCTGTGTCAATCACAATGGCATTTCACTGGGAAGTAAATGGCGTGACTTTAGCCTGGTTCAATTAAGCAATCTACATGGCAAAGTGACCTTAACAATTCACTGCCAGCTTTGAGGGGAAATTATTTCCCCCTGTACTCGGCCTTAGTGAGGCCGCAGCTGGAGTACCGTGTCCAGTTTTGGGCTCCACAATTCAAAAAGGATGTGGAGAAGCTTGAGAGAGTCCAGAGAAGAGCCACGCGCACGATCAGAGGTCAGGGAAGCAGACCCTATGATGACAGGCTGAGAGCCCTGGGGCTCTTTAGCCTGAAAAAGCGCAGGCTCAGGGGTGATCTGATGGCCACCTACAAGTTTATCAGGGGTGACCACCAGCATCTGGGGGAACGTTTGTTCACCAGAGCGCCCCAAGGGATGACGAGGTCGAATGGTCACAAACTACTTCAAGATCGTTTCAGGCTGGACATAAGGAAGAACTTCTTTACTGTCCGAGCCCCCAAGGTCTGGAACAGCCTGCCACCGGAGGTGGTTCAAGCGCCTTCATTGAACACCTTCAAGATGAAACCGGATGCTTATCTTGCTGGGATCCTATGACCCCAGCTGACTTCCTGCCCTTTGGGCAGGGGGCTGAACTCGATGATCTTCCGAGGTCCCTTCCAGCCCTGATGTCTATGAAATCTATGAAATTTTGGCTCTTCCAGGCCTATACAAAAGCTTGTGTGCTACAGTGCGCAGCAATATTTTATAACATCATAAAGAGAAGGTTAAGCACAGCTCACTAAGAAGAAGAAAACAGAATGGCTAAAAAGTCAATTACCTGTGTAATACCTGTACTTCAGTTTAGAAAGAAAACACTTCATTTAAATTAAATTCCCACTGAGGAGAATTTCTCCTTTTTCTTTTAATCATTATTGGCATCATAAACTTTTTTTTTACAATAGATGGGGCCATAAAGATATATCACAGTTCCACTGTTCTTTACTGTTGGTTTACACTGACCATCTAGAAGCTTTAAAATAACAACACTGATATGCAAAGAAATACTACTTTGTTTTGTCAGATACTAGTTTCCTCCTTGCTGCCCTATACCCTCCCTCACTCTTCAAACACCAGAGAAGTTGCCACAAAGTTCTATTTTACCAGGTTTCAAGCTTGAGTGCTTACCTCCAGTGTCAGAGGAATGGACGGCATAGAATGGAAACCGATGACACTCAGTGTCCATCTACACTGCCCCATAAAACAGAGCTAGGGATCCAGGTTTATTTTAACATTTCAATCGCATTTCAAATTAAAACCAGGAGGGCTGGCCAAACTCTTGGAAAAACTCTTTTAAAAACTATTATATGAGCCTGTATCTATATAACTAAGCTATGAAGAGCAGAATACTACAGACTATTATTTGGATTAGCTTCGCCACAACTACAAAATTCTTACTTTATTAAAAAAAATAATTATCTAGCCTAAAAACTTCTAACTAAATTTGCTGCCCACAAATATGAGACAGGAAGAGGCATACCACAGTCAGACAGTTCATAAGTTTCTACATCAGTCTCCCAAACTCACTGATATTTTAGTCCATATCTTCTAGCTTGTAATTTTCACCATATTATGACTGTTATGAGGTAGCCTCCTACCTAAACGATACTGAGGTGAGACTAATAAACCTCCTTCCACTCCTGACAGAAAGCACAGTTGCTACAATGTATTTGTCCTCCAAATCTCCTTAAAACTATGGTTTTGCTTAGGGTTCAGTTTTCCACCAAATTCTAACTTTTACTAATCCTTTTGTGTATGAAAATGTACACTACCGGTTTAAAAATAGTGTGTGTGTGTGTGTGTGTGTGCGCGTGCACACACACTTTACTATGGAAATAAAATGAATGACAATGTGCATTGGACTAAAAACCTTTCCATCTGAACTAGATTTCTGCAAAATGTTGTATGTATTAGTCAATTATTAAACTGGAACAGGGGTGCTCAACCCCCAGCCCACAAGACTCCCCAACGGTACAGAAATTTTGTGGTTGGGGAGTGATGGCTATTAACATAGCCACTGCTCCCCAGAGCCAAATTTCCTAGCCCTAGCAGGCCAGATGATATGGCTCTTGTGCCTGGGATCCAGCTGGTATGTGCAGGGCTGGGTTGGGGTGGTGGGCCTAATTGCACATGTGGGGCATAGGCCAGATATGGTGTGATATTATGACTGAGCCCTGGCCTTGCACGAGCTGGGCCAGACACAACCCATGGACCAACGCTGCACCCCTCATCCTGCTTATGGGGCCGAAAGATTGGGCACCACCGAACTAGAGGGTTTGAAGATCCCAACAACAAAACGACTTTATATCCAATGCCAAACAAACCAAGAATTCCTTCCTTCACCTTCAGTGAGATGTCTGTCCAGTAAATACGATTGTCTGTCACATCAAAATCCAAGGCAGATGCTTCCTTGACTCCAGTAAGTGGGATGGCAACATTGTTGTTATTGGTTTCCAAAGAGATTCTCCTGATATCTGCTCTCCGTGAAAACAGTAGGAAAGCTTCTGGGACAATGCATGTCTTCATGTCACTTATGAGTTCTAAGCCTATGGGGCAGGCACACCGAAGTCCCTGTGGTCTGTATAGGCAGAGATGGCTGCAACCACCATTATCATCTGCACAAGGGTTTGTACCTAATCACATAGCATAAGAAAAGAAAAAGAATTATTTGACTCTGGCTTCATTTTCAAGAGTATCCTTGTAATCTTCACAGAAATCAGGAAGGTAAAAAATCATTTAAATATAAATAAATAGGCTGCATCTGTTTTTCACCTTGTAACCTCTGTATGATTATTTTTGTTGTGGCCTTAACAATCCTTTGGATGATATTCCTTTTACCATAGTTTTAAATTTTAGCACTTTTCTCTCTTCACCCTGTGTAAATTAATTCAGTACAACTGAAAAGGAATAGGGCTGACAGCAGAAAAGCCTGATATTCTTCATTTCCAGCATAAACTTTGCATGAACAAGAGTACCACCTGTTTTTATACAGCACTCTTCCACGGCTCTGTGCCTGTGGCTGGCATGCGCAGGGCTGGGTTGGAGTGCTAGGCATGATTGCCCATGGCGGGGCTGAGGCCAGATCTGATGTGATATGGCATGTACTGGATTGGGCCCTGGCCTCGCGTGAGCTGGATCAAGCCCATGGACCAGATCTAACCCACAGACCAGTGCACATACTTCAGCTTTATCTTATTACGATTACCTTGAGGCTCAAAAAAGCTTCAGGCTTCATGACCACTTAAACTATCACTTCAGACTGCAAACAAAGCATCTCCCTGTCACAAGTGTGTGCACAAGGGTTCATGCGTATTGTAGAAATATATCTACTAACAAGTGTACTGATAACACTCAATTCATTTGGTACAGACTAGTATGAAAGACAGCTTCACTTAAACACACCTAACTTAGGCTAGGCCTATCCTGCACTCGCTGCTGTTACCACAGCATAGGACAGACATACCTGAGCTAACTTGAAACTAGCTAGCTCAGGTATTAATAAGGATTATGCCACAGTGGCAAAGCTTAGAAAAGTCTACACAACTTGACCAAGAAAACAATGTACTACTCGAGCAGTTAGCCCCATGCAGCCATGACTTGACTGTAACAGACGGAATGTGTCTAAACAAGTTGATAACCATGCATAAATAACCTAGATATCAAGTGCTCAAAGCCAGTAAAGGGTATTGTTGTTGTTTTACAAACTCTTGCCAGCACTGTTAAATACTTTCTTGAGATCCTTTCTTGTGGGTTGGTGGAGTGTATCCAGACCTGGAAAGAAAAACAGTTTCCCCATACAGATGCTCAAGAAGTTCATTTTCCCCTTTTTTGTGATTTTTCACTCACTCACCAATGATTTGATGGACATTTGTGGCTTTCAGACCCATTAGATCAGGCAGTTGGTCTATGATGATTTCCCTTTCTGCTGTACGCTTATGCACTCTCTCAATGCTGCGCCTTTGCCAATCTGTCCAATAAACATAGTCTCCCAGCAAAGTGAATCCGAAGATGTGAGGCAACTTGTCCTCCACCAGAACCCTCCTACCAGTGCCATCTGAATTCATGACCTGTGCATACACATAATAGCAGGGACACTGGGATGAGAAACTGCCTGAATACATGCAGAATAATTTCTTTGTATATAATCTCATGATTAACAACTACATTAAGCATTGCATATTTAATTTTTATTACTAAATGAAAAATAAGAGTAATTGAAACTCTACTAAACTAGATACAGAATAATCAAAGACAGACTTTTGGCAAAGTGTCCATCACTCTCAAATCCACAAAGGCCCCTTTGTGTCTAATGCTATCTGCATAAATGAAATCCAGATAAGGAGACTGCAAGGTGGGGTTCCAATTCAGCAAGTCCTGGAATATTTCTTTTGTGATCCAACCCTGGGCATATCTTTAATACATAAAGCCTACCTCTTTCCTTATCTCCCTTCCTGCAATAACTTGATTGCTTCACTTTTAAATGGGAGGCAGTGCAGTTTGGAAGAATGATGACAAATTTAGAAGTGGGGATGCCCTTCATTTTAAATTGGCTCACTATACAGTAGTCAAGAGTCCCTTCCAAGACAACTTTATCCAGACTGGGACTGATGATAAAAAGTGATAATTCTGGGTATCAGAGGATCAGTGTCAAGAATCATATTTGCATTCCTGACAACTATATTCTACACCTTCTGTACCTGAAAGGTCATGAATAGGCAGTGCACCATCCTATAGCTTCAATCAAAACACTTTAATTTGTATTTTTAGTTTCACTTCCTGATAAAATTGGGTAAATATTACCTTCCTCAAAAGGGCATTGTAAGGATTAATGAATATACTTACCATAGTCAAATATACTACAACACTGTTTAAATGCCAAGTATGACTATTTAAAATATTAAAATATTAAAGGGATATCAGGTGAAGGAAATAACCCTTTTAAAAGAAGATGTTTCTAAATGAACATAACACTAAAGTTACAATGAGTACACATTATAATTATGTGATGCTGAGATCTCATGAGCCCTAAACAATGTGTGAGGAGACATCACTCCTGAATTGTATTACATTCATCCTATGTGTTCGTTCAGAATAAAAAGAAACGTTTTAGGAAAGTCTTTTCCTTTACCTTGCCTGCAAAAATTGGATAACACAAAATCCAACAGCATTCATAAAGTGAGTATGAATGTATTAAAATATCTAGATAGAAGATTGCAACGTGTCAGGAAGCTCCTTCTGGAACCTAGCATTACCCAAGAGATTGTGATGCAACATCTTTGTTTAGAGAGGTCTGAGAGTGGGGAAAAAAGAAACTTTAGAAACATATTAACATACTGTTTTTAAATCTTGGTACCCCTCCCTTTCTTTCTTACGGTAGACCAGTGGTTCCCAACCTTTTTTATACTGCGGACTGGCAAACATATTTAAATTTAATTTACATGGTTAAAATTAAATTTACATATTTAAATTTAATTTTTTTACATGGGGGGGGGGATGCAAGGGTTGGATCGGGTTGGGACACCATAGCCAGGCACCAGGGAACCCTGCAGGGGAGGAGGCTGCACAGGCAGTGGCCTGGGGGACCCAGATGGAGCTGCCCAGGAAGAAGGGGCTCCGCTGCCTTCCCTAGGAGCAAGCAGCGTAGCCACCTCCCTGCCCTCTGCCCCAGGCATTTCCCCACCTGCATTCTCCGCTCCCAGCCACGGGCAGGGCTGGGGGTCCTGCCCAGTCCAGCACAGGCCGCAGTATCTGCTGCGCGGGCAGTGCCTCAGCAGGTGCAGTGGGAGCAGGACAAGGCACACAGAGCTGGCTGCCCCTCCGCCCAGCTTTAACCCTGCATGTGACTGCTGGGCCTGGGGGACCCAGATGGAGCTGCCCAGGAAGAAGGGGCTCCGCTGCCTTCCCTAGGAGCAAGCAGCGTAGCCACCTCCCTGCCCTCTGCCCCAGGCATTTCCCCACCTGCATTCTCCGCTCCCTGCTGGCAGCCCGGCAGCCAACACTTCGTGGCCCAGTGATTGGGAACCTCTAATCTAGAGCAGTGGTTCTCAATCTTTTAAGACTCAAGGCACTCCTCGTCTGACTCGAGGCACCCCTCCACAACTTCTGTGAACTGAGCAGCACCCCATTCCAAAATCTAATTATTACAGGGTTTACCTCCAGGCAGAGGGGGCAGGCAGTGGAGGTGGGGGAACAGCTAGGCAGGGAGTGGTTTAGCCTGCCCTTTTCTGCTTATCTCCTCACAGCTGAAGTCAGAGCTCATCTGTTCATCTCCTGCCACCTCCTTTATCTTTTCACACTTCCATCCTCATCCTTCAACGGATCTAGGGGCACGGGTACCCTGGCTGAGAATCATTAGTCTAGAGGCTTAGCATTTCCCATCTTCTCCACCTCAACCCAAATACCTCTGTAATAACAATGGCCAGGATCTATCAATGCCAACATAACTTGCCTGAAGGGACACTTTTGTGGTTAGGATTTACTAGCACTTAGTGATAAGCAAGGCCCAAGATGGTATCAGATGGCAGGGAAGGAAAAGCAAAATGAGGATTCAAACCCAAGGATGTTTATGGGTGATAATTTTTATACTGCTTGTTGCATATTTCCTGAACCATCATAGCTACAATATCACTCCAACATGATTTAAACCCAAGTCTTTCTTGGTACAGGGCAAAGTCTGCTAAAATCATGCCAAAATCTCCACACGCAATTTTTTTCTGCTCAGAAGTATTTATGCTGTAAACTGGTTTTATTCCATTTTATCCAGCCAGCAAGCCCTCCCTTCATGAACAGAACTGTTGTAAAAAACAAGACAAGTGTTGTATATTCACTAACTTCCAGTGGGCTTCCAGTTTTCTTTAAAGAAAATTCAAACTTACTCTGTGAAATGGTTATGTAAAAAGGTTTTAAAGACTGTTAGCATACGTTGTAGATTTATACATGTGTGCATATTGCATCAACAAAATCATTTTGCTTTGGAAGATTTATTTTTCCATGTTCTTTTTTTAAAGTATAACAAGCACACTTTTCTAGACTTAGTTTTGTATTATGGCACATATAATATCCTTGACCTGCACCTTATGCTTGTCACTTTGTCTTCCGATTCCAGATTGTTTTACTGGACTCAAGGCCCAGTAAAAATTCCAATTTTTGCACCTTCTTTCAAAAGCAGCTCAGTTATTCCACTTGAATTTCAGAAGTTTTCAGTACCTGTAGACTCTCTCTCTCAAGCTCTAGTTGTCTGGTTCCCCTGAGTTCTGTTGTGACAAATGAGGTTCCTAAACAAAAGACTGACACTGAACTGAAGAACCATGAAGTGGCTCTATTAATGTGCTGAAGGTAAGCTACAGGAAAACAAAGGAATCTTTCTGCTGAAGCTCCCAGTTCTTTAATCTATTCAAGTTCCTTAATCATCAGCGTGCTTTTTAAAAAAAATACAATAATCTACAGGGGTAAAGAAAGTACCCTCCCAGGCTCAAATAAAACTCATCACCCCCATTTTATTTTACCACCATCTTGCTGAGCTTTACAGTTTTTCTAAATCTCTGTTCTGACTTCATCTTTCCTCCTTAAACCAAAAAGAGAAGAGCCATTTGTAATTGTGTGGGGCACATGGCAAATGAGGGAGGGGACAGGCAGCCCAGCAAAAGATACCACAGGAAGAAGAAAACAAAGAAGTAAATTGGGCAGGGAGTAGAGAAAAGCAGAAAGCAGAGCAGCAGATCGGTCAGGGAAATGGGATTAGACTGGCACTTGGGAAGGGTGTGGGCTAATTTGGGACCTGTCTGCCAAAAAGACTGTCCCTTCACCAATGATTTATAATATTAACATTTGTCCATTAGGAGCTGGAGTGTAAGCAACAACTTATACCACATGGACTGAACTGTCACAGTGCAACATGTCCCATACTGACCTTAGCTAATTTCAAGAAGTTTTAAAAATATCCCTATCTATAGGTCACAAAACAAACATAAACTAGCATAAGGCACAAAACAAAATAGCATGGGATGCAGGGATGATGCACATAACCTACACAAAGGGAGACTACAACCCTAATCAATTCATTCCAGAGGATGTTAACATAATCTCTTCCCTACTGTGAAATTCAGGTAACAAGTACCAGCTGAGTTTCCTTACATATGAACTATCCTACTGCACCCCAAAATGGATTAGCCAGCCAAAATGACAACCAGCATCTCTCAATCCCTGTTTGAGGAGTTCACCTTCTAATATGAGCCAGTGCCTCCAGTGACGTGCGCTGCTTTAACCACAGTGTGGTGTGAATTTCGCGTTTTGAGGCAATTTAAAATACTGTAAACCCACAGCGAGAATACAGACTACAATAGGAAACAGATGTAGCTTAGCCACAAACACTACCTTTACTGTAAAGGCAACTAGTTCCAAACAAAAAAATAAATGCCACAAAGCAAATCAAAATAAAGCACGCACAAGGTTTTTTTACAACTAGTTAAACAAAGTAATGTATCACTTCAAAACTTCAGCCTCATAAAATGCAGCTCATAACTTAAGGTCAAAACTTAAGTTAATGCATTTGGTGGCCAGCACAGATAAAATACAGCTTACTATCTTGGAGTACTGTTTCCATCCCAAAAATGGAATTTTGCATGATAACAATTTGATGAAAGTCTCAATTTTGCCAAATATTCTGGATTTAATTCACATCTGAATGTCAGTAATAAAAAGCTTTAAGTAGTCAGATGTTGTGACTTTTCATTTTTGACAATGCATAGTTTGAATATGCGTTAGCTAATAACTGACATTTGAGTAGCAGTCTGTCAAATCACGTTCCCACACCTATTTCATCAGTGAAGTTCCATTCAGTTCTGATTAGAAGAGGAATGTTTTGCAAATCATTACCAAAGAGCACTGGCAGAACTCTCTGTGGGCTCAAGACTAAAGTAACAAAGTGTGCAACAAATTGGGATTGTAGGGAATTAACAAAGTTTCCTGAAAGACAAGACCTGGGAAAGTAGAAAGTATCACATGTGAGCACGGATAAACATTCATGGAGCTACAAGTCTCCAAACATCTGTCCAGACTGTGACACATT